GTGTGTCGCATCCGAGACTTCAGCACCCCCTCTGAGGCTCAGCACACAGACCCTTCTCTCGATGGCCCAACCCCTTGGGAATCCATCATCTCTGCTGGCTGGGTCAGTGGGCACTGGACCCAAATTGCCACTTGAACCAGCCCTGCGGCACTAGGTGGGACCCGTGACCCACCTCACCTGTTCCTGTCCGCCACACACAGGAGCAGTGGCCGGGTGGGCCCTGGATGGTGAGTGACTGCTGTCATTTTTTCCGTTCTCATTTACTGTGGGGTCACGGAGAGAGTAAGTGCACGCACGCTGGGCTCTCTCGTGCTCGCTGGGCCCCGTCCATGCCTTCGGCAAGATGGACGGGGCTGCCGGGATGTCGGTGATACGTCCCAGGCGAGCTTTCGCGAGGGAGGATGCGGGAGCCAGGCTGCAGACTACTGTGCTCCTCCCAGAGCTGCAGGGCGTCCGCTCCACGGTGTGGGGAGACCGCTCCCGTGGGTCCCCGCAGTGCTGTTCATAAGATGCCTCCCAGGCCGCCGAGGAAACAGGGGTGCTGGGGAGTGGGCGTGGGCTGCGAGAACTGGAAGGTGTCACCTCACTTGTTTGGGTATGGAATTGAGTAATTGTATTCATCCCATGCACATTCCGTATGTTTGTGCAGTTCATCGGTCCCAGGTATGTTACTTTGTTTCCTCCTGGAGTTTTCAGACACTGGCTTTATGTATCTCCACACGTATCCTGGTAAACTGCTAGAATAAACACAATGGCTCACACATACACACTTTTTTTTTTGGTCCCAACTTCTCCACGATATTTTAATGTTGCCCGAATTTTTCTGGAACATAGTGTGTTCTCTTTAGCTGAGGATTTAGTTCTTATCTGGGGAAACATCATGTCTTTGATTTTGTGGGGGGAGGTCAAACGTAGGCTTCTCTGCCTGTGGGACCGGTTTTCTCCATGGTGGTCACCCTTGTCCACCCAGCCCAGCTAGCGTCTCCCTCTGACTCTCCATGATCGGTCCTCTGACCCGCGTCACCCTGTCTGGGCCCTTCCACAGCCCCAGGAACTTGGGTGCTCTGCCACTGTGCCCTCCCATCCTGTCTGCCCCCCCCCCAGCACTCAGACTGCATCACCCATGTTCCCAACCCCAGCTAGGACCTAAGTGCCGTGAGGAGAGGGGACTCGTCCTCCTTCCCGTCACAGGCCGAACAGTGGGACACACAGGCGATGCTCAGTGAGCTGACTGGACCCCGAGGCTCCCGGGTCAGCTGTGGGCACCTCGCACTCGGCTGTTGCCAGTGTGTGAGACTTGCGTCCTCGGCCCCAGGTTCCCTCCTCGTTGTGCTGTCTACATCCGTCTCTGGTGTCTCCTTTTCCCCGGAGCGTTTGTCATGGAGGGTGTTCCCCTTCCTAAGGAGCATTTAGTCTCAGGACGGGATCTCCGTGGGGGCCCAGACGCAGCGTGGGGGGTCTCCTGACCCTCTCCCCATGCTGAGCCCTATGTCCCCTCCCAGCCGTTTCCAGTGAGTCCCTCCTGCTCAGCAAGAGCCCGAGCTGACCCTGTGTGGGAACAACCTCACCTGCAAGGCACTGTCCTTGCGCACAGGATCTTTGAGTGGCAGGCGCATCAGGTCTCGTAGTAGTTAAACAAAACTACAGGGAAAAGGGTTCTCGTCCACTCCCGTCGCCACTGCCCCGAGCCCTTCTCAGGCAACAAGACCTGGCCAGTCCAGCGCTCACACCATCTGTGGTTAGAGGTGTGAGCTCGGGGGTCGCCGTCCGTCACCCTTGCTCGCCTGCCTGCCTCCCTCCCCGGTGACAGATGGAGTGCCCGCTCCTGGCAGCTCTCCCTTCCTCGGGCACAGCTGGCAGTGCTGCGGCCCGTGCACGGCCCGAAGGAGCCCAGGTCGGAGGCACCCAGAGGCTCAGCGTGTGCTCCGGGCAGGGCTGTCTCATCCAGAGACATGGCCGAAGGCGCTGAACCTGGTGCCCACAGGGCCGAGTGTGCCCCGAGGGGCCTGTCTCTGAGTCTCACAGAGGCCGTGTGGGCTGCTGACCACAAGGCTGGGGAACAATGCAGTGCAGGGGGGCTGTGGGGGAGGCGCTCCCACCCTGCAGGGCCATTTGCTGTTTCTCCCCCAGATGCTGACTTGAACCCCCGCCTGACTCCCTCCGAAGGCGCCAGGTGTTTGATCATTTTCCTGCTGACCGGGCCTCACCCTGCCCAGCCGCAGGGCGGCCAGCACAGCCTTCCAGGGCTGGCCCTGCCTCCTGCGTGAATGCCGCTGCTCGTCCTCCCCCTCGGCCTTCACTCGTGTCCGGTTCCTGAGACAGGCGGGGTCTGACCCGGCTGCGCCGCGCAGCTGCTCCGGCCTCTCCTGGTGAACCGCGCGCCTGCGGCTCCAGTGGCCCGTGGTTCCGGTGCGCCCTCTCCCGCTTCAGCAGCCGGGGCCGGCCGACGTGGGGACCCCCCGGGTCCTGTCCGCGCCCCTGCCGTCCACAGGCCCGCACGCTCGTCACACTGAGGCTGACATCCAGACGACCCCGCGCTCTGGTGGTTTTAGGTTGAAATATGGCTTTTTCAGGTGTGTTAGAGTGAGAGACATCTGCAAAACGCCACGTGGCACTGCAGGAGGGTGGGGGTGGGGTGGAAACGGAGCTGGGGTCGATCCTCAGGCAGGAGCTCCCAGCAGAGGCTGCTGCACAGGGAGCCCGGGCAGGGCCGCCCCGGCGGAAGCCGGGGTCAGGCGGCATCTCCCGCCCGGGCGGGTGGCGCCCACCTCCTGTCTGCACAGCTGGGAAAGCGTGTCTACTCTGTGGGGCCAATGGGAGGTCTAAAATTCATGAGTTCTGTGTTCCAGTTCTTCTTTTGTTGTTGTTGTTGCTTTTCTAATTAGAAAACAGACACGGTTTCTGTGGAGGCGAACATCAGATTTACCGATCCCGACATATGCTTCCGAACAATAAATTTTGAATTTCATCGAAACGCAAAGCCGACGCACGCGGCCCAGACTGTGAGGCCTTCGGGAGCAGGGGAACCCCGCGTTCTGCGTGCGCGTCACCGAAGAGGGAGCCGGGCCGCACGGGGGACGTACGCGTCTGCAAACGGCTCTGACGCCGGCGGCCGCTTTGCTCAGCTACTCAGACCTTCTTCTTAGTCCGGTGTTGTTGTCAATCCTCATCCGGGGGTATTTTTCCATAAATTTTTAGATAGAGTGGAAGGGGCGGGGGAGAAACATCAATGTGAGAGACACATCGATTGGTTGCCTCCCACAGAACCTTGGCCGGGGTCAGAGATTGAACCTGCGACCCTTTGGCCCTTGTTGCAAAGCTCTAATCGCTGAGCCAAACCGGCCAGGGTCAGCTAATCAGACCTGTAAAAAAATTCTTAAAAATGTAACACAGTGCCCTGGCCGGTTTGGCTCAGCGGTTAGAGCGTCGGCCTGCAGTCCAGAGAGTCCCGGGTTCGGTTCCCGCTAAGGGCACGTACCTCGGTTGCAGTTTGTCCCCGGCCCTGGCTGGGTCGTGCGGGAGGGAGGCAGCCACTCGATGTGTCCCTTTCACTTCGATGTTTTTCTCGCTCTCTCTTCTTCTCTCTCCCTCCCACTCGATCTGAACAAAAATGGAAAAATGTCCTCGAGTGAGGATAAAAAAAAAAAAAAGTAACACAGTGCACTTTCCTCCAGATTTCAGCGAACTTTAAATATTTCATGTTTTTCTCTCTCCAGTTCCCAGCCCATGAAGTGTCGGCCTCAACTCCCTCTCCATGGGCTTCACGTTTCAGTTTTTTTCTGCGTGTTTCACAAACTGGCTTCATCATGATCTGTTTATAGCTTCATCCCGCTCTGAGTACATCAAGTTGAGAGATTCTCTTCTCTGCCGCGTCCCTCCCCTTCAGATGCTCGGTCTAGTCGGACGTTACTGTGCTGCTCAGGTTCGCCAGCCAGCGCCCTCGGTCCCCCGGGCCGGGCTCGGCACGCACCTCGGAGGCACGTGCACGCGCATCCACGCACTCGGTACCGGCTTGATGGTCACTGAAGCCACCTGCCCTTTGGCTCTTAGAGCTTTTCAAGACTTCAATAGGCTGCATTTTTTTTTCCCTCACTCGAGGACATTTTTCTATTTGTTGTTGTTGTTGTTGTTGTTCAGATAGAGTGGGAGGGAGAGAGAGGAAGAGAGAGAGAAACATCGACGTGAAAGGGACACATTGAGTGGCTGCCACCCTCACGACCCAACCAGGGCCGGGACAAACTGCAACTGAGGTACGTGCCCTTAGCGGGAACCGAACCCGGGTCTCTCTGGACCGCAGGCCAACGCTCTAACCGCTGACCCAAACCGGCCAGGGCAATAGGCTGCATTTTTAATGCGACAAGTCTGACTTCTGAGGTGGAACTCCCTGGTAAGGCTGATCCGAAGAATCTCTCCTCGGGGCCAAACTCCTGGGCTGCCTGAACAGTCAGTAAAGAATAAATTCAGACAGTTAAGTGTTCAGCCCGGCTGGCATGGCTCAGCGGTTGAGCGTCACCCAACAGGCTGGGAGGTCCTGGTCCGATTCCTGGTCAGGGCACATGCCCGGGTTGTGGGCTCGATCTCCAGTGGGGGGCGTGCAGGAGGCAGCTGATCAATGTTTCTCTCTTACATCAATGTTTCTATCTCTCTCTCCCTAAAAAAAAAAAAAATCAATAAAAACCTATTTTAAATGTTTAATCTACTTTTTGTGCTTATTGAAGTTTGCTTAAGAAAATTTTGTAGCCAAAAGTGTAATGACCGGTACCACAGACTCTCTTCCTTTCCATCTCTAGACCAATAAAATAAAAATATTCAGGAGTAATAAACTCAATGTTGTGAACATGAGAACAAAGAATGCATCTAGATATATCCATTAATTCAGAAATGAAATTTAGTAACATTCAATTTTGTTTTTACTAATACAAACTAGGTTAACCTCTTTTTAGTAAGAACTCAAAGAAAATTTTTGAGCAGGTGTTACCAGATTTATAATGCAAGCATCGTAAACGTTTGATCAGATTTATTCGTTTTAGTCCCACCCTGCAGTCGGGACGATGCAACCCCAGGGCGTGCACAGGGCACACAGGAGCGGAGCGCTGTGCACTGAACCCCCGCCAGCAACGCGTCTCGGGGAGGGCGGCCGCCGCAGGCCGGTCTGCTTCCGCGCTGGCTGAGCGGCTCCAGCGTGAGGGGCCCCCCAAGCTGTGCCGCCCAGTGGGCCCCACACGTGGCGAAGTCACTGCACTGGCAGGAAGTGGGAAGCAGCGGTTGATTCTGATGAGCTACGTGATCACGCAACAAGCAGTGGTGAACTCTTCATTCGCGGACGCTGTCTACCTTCAGTCGGATGACTGCAGTCGGCGTCATAGGAGAAAGTCTTTCACCTGATTCAAAGCATTTCCTAGTTCGACTGGCTACGGCAGGCGGGAGGCCATGACTGCCACAGGGGGCAGCCGCCCCCGCAGGACGTGCGCTCTGGGTGGCCTCCATCCAGCTCCACACCACACTCCACCTACCCCTAGCAGGCGCGTGTCCAGGCCCCCCTCGCACTAGCTGACCAGGCACGGGTCGTCGCTGCTGGGCTTGACCTCTCCGGCCAGCAGCGAATCCATCACCACCTTCATCAGGTAGCTGCAGGTCCCCCTCCGTCCCAGCGGGGGCGTGTTGTAGAAGGAGGTCATGTCGTCCTCCTAGGGAGACGGTGAAGCGCGGACAGGTCAGAGCAGTGTCAACTAGGAAGGTCAGTTCACAGAGTCCCTCCCGGACAAGGGGAGCTTCCTGAGCTTGCTCTCGTTGTCCCGGGCATCTGCCCGGGGGACAAGACAAAGACGGACATCGTCCCTAGTCTCCTCTCTGCCGAGCCTGCTTCCTGAGGGGCCTCCTCACAGGGACAGGGACAGGGACAGGGCGCAGAGCCTGCAGGGACAGCACAGGGCACCCGGGGAGCCGCCCGCATGCCCTCCCCAGGCGAATTCTGCAGCCCCGGGAATCAGGCCTCCTCTCTGCCAGACACACTAACCGCAGCCCTGTCAGGGGGATGCCTCTCTTCCTAGATGTCTTTTCAGTCGGATCTTTATGGCTGAATTGACTCGTAATGAACTAAAAAGTGAAATTAACTCCTCGAGTCCTCCATTTTGTTCTGTCGGTTAAACCACAAGAGCTCAGGGACATTTCGAAGACTTGAGACTACGAAAAATCGGCAACAAGCTATCTTCTCTACTTACTTGTTTCTCGGCGTCCTTTAGTCGACTCTCGTCTTTTTGAAATTCCTGAAATGCTTCTCTCACCAGCTGGTCCAGATCCACTTTGTCTTGGAACTCGAGCTCGGGGTTTCTCTCCAGGACGACGGACACCACCATCAGCAGCTGGAAGAGACGGACGTCGGAGCCAGTGAGCAGGACTTTGCAGGGGGCGCCGTCTGGACGTCCCAGCCCCGCCTCCGCTGACGGACGGGCCTGTCGTCCCAGCGTGCCCGGCATGAGGACGGGCTCAGGGTCGTCTGGCTGGAACCCTCCTGACCCTGCAAGTCAGCGCCTGGGTTCGGACGGGGGACGGCACGTTTCTCCCTCGTGGGTAACCCTGCGGCTGTGCAGAAATGTGCTTTGGAATCAAATGCTCGGGGCTTAGAAAAAGGGAGGTTCCCGACCCGTCTGGGGTCCAGTGCCCCCTTCACCCGCAGCGCCAGCACCCTCCTCGCCTGGGCATTACTCCTGCTGGCAGGACCCCACCAGCAGCTTGGGGGGCAGAGGCTGCCCCGGGGCGTGGGGGGCAGCAGCCAGGAGAGGCGGGAGGCGGGAAGCTGCATTGAGGCTCACGATCTCTGACTTGGAGCCCAGCTCCCTCGGTGAGTATAAATCTGTGACCCCACAGCAGTTTCTCGGGGCTTGTCATGTTGACACGAATGCTCTTACCTCTGCCCTCCTTGTGACATGGGTCCGATCTGGCCTGGCTCTTAGTTTAACGCATCATGCTATAGTTTGTCTATCCCAGCATCTACCCTAAGGAGTAATGTTCACCTTGGATGACAAGCGGCTACACACAAAGGTCGTGCTTGGTAAAGACTTTCTGATGGGCATGGCTCCTACTTTGTACACGGGACATGGAAAAGACTTCGTAGTCCCCAGTGTGGGCATCTCCTGACAACGCCTCCAAAACGGAACCTAAAGAACCACAGGGAACACTTCCCGAAAAACCCAGGGCTCGCGGGGTGGGGGGCCTCGGGGGAGGGCTTGAGCCTGGGGAAAACAAAGTCTGCAAAGGGAATGGCCTCCTTTTGGTCAGCAAGAAGCCCCTCTATGCCCGGCCAGTGTGGCTCAGTGGTTGAGCGTCGACCCTGCACCAAGAGGTCGCCAGTTCAATTCCTGGTCAGGGCACGTGCCCAGGTTCCGGCCCGATCCTCAGTGGGGGGGGGGGGGGAGTTGATATTCTCTCTCATTGATGTTTCCATCTCTCTCTGCCTCTCCCTTCCTCTCTCTCTCAAATCAATAAAGAAAAAAACAAAACAGAAGAAGCCCTCTGTGCACAGTAGTCCCCGAAGCTGGGCACCAGCTGTCGAAAGGCGACCAGCAGGAGGAGGCGCTCACCCCTCGAACAGCCCCACCTTTCCCTGCCCCAGGCTCTGAACCACTGAAACCTTCTACAAGGCTCATGCGACTTGACTTGGGTCAGGGGGGCCGTCCTCCTCCGGCCCAAGTGGGGGGACCTGGGTCGGTGAGGCGGGAATGTCTGGTCTCCCGCAGCCGCTCTGACCCTGGTTCCCGGGAGCGGCCAGGAGCACCCCGTCCACACGTCGGGACACCAACCTCCACGATGATCTGCCTGTACTTGGGCTGGTCGATGTTCCCCAGCATGTCTTCAACCAGCAGAGAGAAGTTCATCTCGTACATGGTCATGTCGGACAGGGTGGGCTGCTGGAAGAGACGAGAACCCAGCATCGCGCTGCTCATCAAGGCCCCGCGTCAGCCCCGCGAGCCTCAGGGCCTCCCGGCCCCAGGGCTGGCCTTCCCACGCCACGTTGTGACCAGCGACTGACGGGCGCCCCTCCTGCGTTTAGTGGTCGGCGTCAGCAAGTGAGTGTTTTCAGGGGAAAGGGACTAGGTTAGAACATCACTGAGACACACAGAAGGAACAGTCAGAAAGGGAGACGACACCTCGAGCACAGTCACGCTGCCAGCCCGGGAAAGCCATCGCTGTCGGGTTCACAGCGTCTCTGTGGCGGGTCCTTTCTGAGCCGGCAGCGTGAACACGCACGCGCAGGCCAGGCAGCGCTGTGCGCAGGGAGGCAAGCACACAGCGCACAGCACACCCGGACGCTGGACCCTCCACCTTTCCTCTAAAGCTAGAGTACCGCAGTCTTCTGTCCACATCTCACGAGGCAAACTGAAGCAGAACATAGACTAAATGTGGGCAGGGACGGAGGGGGGCCCTGGCTGCCAGGACCGTGGGCAGGGATGGAGGGGGGCCCTGGCTGCCAGGCCCGTGGGCAGGGACGGAGGGGGGCCCTGGCTGCCAGGCCCGTGGGCAGGGACGGAGGGGGGCCCTGGCTGCCAGGCCCGTGGGCAGGGACGGAGGGGGCCCTGGCTGCCAGGCGTGTGGTGGGGCAGATGGAGCCTCCAGAACGGCCAGCAGGGCGCAGAGCTGGGGGTCGTACTCACTGACCGATGGTGGACTTCATCACGGCCTCAGGACAGGGTGTGTCTACTCCCTACCCCTGGGGACCCACAGGAATGCCCCTTTCAGTCAGAGGACGGCAGAGTTGCCCTGCCTGGTGTAACAATGCCTCATCTGCTGTATTCTATCTGCAATGCCACGGCAGGTAGGTAACGCTCCGTTTTCTAAGAGTATCTGAAGGAGGGGTGTCTAGATACCGGAAGGGGGGAAATACTGAAATAAGTCTAACTGGTTGGACTAGAAGTATTTTTTCCCCGATCTGAGTTACTTTTATTTTTCAGCTGCAGTGTCCCTCTAGACAGAAGCTTGGCTTTACCAAGTGGATATCTGCTTACAAGCTGTATTTATCAGCATCACTTTTGCATTATCCGGTTTCAGATGCTTCCGGGAGGCTCTCAGAACACGGGCTGAGCAGAACGGTGCTTGCAGTGCAGAGGGGAAAGCGTGCCCTGCTCCTCGGGTCCCTGCGGCGTCCCCAGGCCCCTACCTGCGGCAGGTGCTTCCCCGCTACCACGATGCCCTTGGGCGTGCGCTCCAGAATCTGCCACACCCGGTCGTAGAACCCCGCGGGCGTCCTGTTCAGGGACCCGTTGATCTGACGCCTGTTCAGCCAACATCTGCAGACCACAGAGAAGTGCAAACACAGCTTGTCCTGGTGGGAACCAGGCCTGCAGTATGGACTGACTGTCCAGTGGGGTGAGTGGAGAGAGCAGAACCCAGCAAGGGTGCATGTTCTAGCCTGTGTTACAGACATTACTAAATATTTGATAAAGAAAACAGAGCGAGCAGGAAAGGAGATAATCCCTCGATTTAAAAAATTTAACAGGCAAAATGTTATTCGCTACCAAGTTACAAGGTTGAAAATCTCACCAGCGATGAAATGACCTTAATACTCAAAGCAGCTCCATTTGAAAATGTAGGAGCAGCTTGAATAATTACACTACAGCTTTTTCTGTTATAAACAAGTTCTTCAGTTCTATTCAGTGCCATCCACAAGTATTTGCTTTGCTCTCATTCTAACTTAAGCACATTAGGTCTATGAAAAGGTTTAGCCCTGAAGAGGTTTACCATCTATTGAGGGAGACGGAGTAACGGGCAACCTACTTTTAATAACATGACCAAACCACACCTTTAGCCAAAATGTTAGGAGGAGGTGGCAAGTGCTGCGAAGATTCAGAAATGGAACTGACTAAAGTAGTATGTGTGCAGTGTTACATTCTGCACGGAATAATAAAAATTAAGAAGTGTTTATAAACTACACCTGACAAGTGTATAAAATTCAAATCGATACAAAATGACAACTGAAAACTGGTATTTTAATGAGTATCTCTGCGCTGTCCATCTGCTACTCCGCGGCATTTTACTTCTTCTCGATACCTTGTTTCATGCATGTATCAAACACGAGTTCCTGTAAGCCCAGAGGGGCCTCCCCACCTTCCATTCTGCTGGGGCTGGAGGATGTCCATCAGAAGCTGCTTGACCGCACTGGGTGACATCTGATACAAGTCTGCGGCTGGCTGGTCGCCTCCACGGATCTGCAGCTCGTACTCCATGGCGTGGATGATCCAGCTGAAACAGACAGGCAAGGAGAATCGATAACCTTCGGAATAAAGTCACCTCGGCCTTCTCACGTCAGTCAGTGCACCGAGCCATCCAAAGAGGATGAAGAAAAGGCCGTGGGAACTTCCTGGACCCGATGAGAGACTGACTTCCATCAAGATAACGGGACAGGATCAGACTCTTGGACCCGAGGCCTGCTCTTGCAGACGTGGTCGGGCAGCAGTCGTGAAAACAGGCTTAGATCTCAGGATCCTGCCAAATGAGACTCCACCCCTGGGCGCGACAGGACACTACGCCAACAGCTGTCACACGGCTACTTCTTCACGCAGGATACCGGCGGAGAGCAACAGGATCAAAGCGATACATGTTGTTACATAACTGTTCCTCTCCCAGGAAAGACAGAATTGTCACCCACTTCCTTTACTTTGCAGTCATTCCTCTGTGATTAGAGGGGACATAGGAGCAGCACCTACCTATGAAGCATAGGGACACAGTCATAACTCAATTAGTGTATTAGAGAATATTCTTTAACCAACAGTTTTCAGAAGAATCTTCTTTATAGGTATTTAAATATAGGTATTTAAATGCTGTTCATTGTACCTATACTTAAAGAATCTATTTTTTTTTTTTTTTTTTATCCTCACCCGAGGACACTTTCCCATTTTTTGTTCAGATAGAGTGGGAGGGAGAGAGAGGAACAGAGAGAGAGAGAGAAACATCGACGTGAAAGGAACACATCGAGTGGCTGCCACCCGCACAACCGACCAGGGCCAGGGACAAACTGCAACCGAGGTACATGCCCTTAGCGGGAACCAAACCCGGGTCTCTCAGGACCGCAGGTCGACGCTCTAACTGCTGAGCCAAACCGGCCAGGGCCAGAATCTATTCTTTATTAAAAAATATTTTTACTGCCCTGACTGGTTTGGCTCAGCAGTTAGAGCCTCAGCCTGCAGACTGAAGGGTCAAGGGTTCGATTCCTAGTCAAGGGCATGTACCTGGGTTACAGGTTTGATCCCCAGCCCCAGCCAGGGTCGTGCGTGAGGCAACCAACTGATGTGTCTCTCTCATATCAATGTTTCTCTCTTTACCTCCCTCCCTCCCTTCCACTCTATCTAAAAATCAATGGAAACATATCCTTGGGTGAGGATTTAAAAAGTATATATATTTTTTGTATTAAAATTATATATATATATATATATAATGTGTGTATATATATGCTAAGTATGTATATTTACTGATTTCTTAGAGAGGGAGAGAGAGAAAGAGAGAGCAGAACATCAATCAGCTACCTCCTGTATGTACCTCAACTGGGGATCAAGCCCTCAACCCAGAAATGTGCCCTGGCCAGGAATCGAACCAGCCCCCTTCCAGTGCCCTGGATTATGCCCAACCAATTGAACCACACCAGCCAGGGCAAAGAATCTATTCTTTAATAGATAATTAAATGCTGTTCATAAAATAATTTTTATTACAGATATAGCTTTAATATAATTATTTAGGCAAGCATTTATAGAGTACAATTTGTGTGCTTGGCATTTTCCAAGGTGGTACAGTTTTATGCCTGGAAATACCTAAAATATTTCATTATTTTATGTGCAAGTAATTTTATTTTTTAATCTGAGAAGCTTTTAATAAGTACGGTTACAGTTTCATCTGCGCTCGTTCATTTACCATATTCTGAGGGAAAACTCAGATAAAGCAGCGTTGCAAACCAAGGGAAGCGGGAAATGGTACTGTGCCTCAGGGAACCAGGGCTCCACACTCCACTCGGAGGAGCCGGGAATGAGTTTCCCACGGCGGAGCCCTGGGCTTCACCCCTCGCTCCGCTGGCAGACGCTGACTCACGGAGTGCAGCTGAGCGTCAGGTTTTCTTCACCCAGGCAGCTTTGTGCCCACAGTGGGGGCGGTGGAGCAAGCCCACAGGGAGAGCTGTCCAGTTAGGTGATTTAAGGTGGCTGAGTTATGCCCTGGCTGGCTTGGCTCAGCGGTTAAAGCATCGGCCCACAGACCAAAGAGTTGCGGGTTCAATTCTGGTCAAGGGCATATACCTTGGTTACAGTTTGGTCCCTGGCCCTGGTCAGGGTCGTGTGGGAGGCAACCAATTAATGTGTCTTACATGATGTTTTCCCCCCTCCCCCCACTCTATTGAAGATACATGGAAAAACCCTTGGGGGAGGATTTAGTAAAAATTTTAAAAAATAATAAAAAACTGGCTGAGTTACTACACCCAGGTATGCCATTATCTTTCTCTTCACACCCTTTTGAAAGCCAACCCATAAGGCTACTGCAGGTACAGAGATGAACATTTGGCGTGGAAATGGTCCAAAGATTCAAGTCCTTCTTTCTGCCAAGACTGGTTTTCAGAACCACAGTGATGTGTCCTCATGGGACTGCAAACTCCTTTTATTTGACTTTTTAGACTCAGGTTGGAAGGAGGTAATCCAATTTTTCCTTCAAGTCTGGTGCTACTTAAGTAAATGCCACCCCACTAACATCAGGAGAGGTCCTCTTCTAAAATAAGAAACGTTTTTATTTTTCAAATTCTTTTTCAAGTCTTGCAAGAATTTGAGTCATTAGAACCAAACATCGTCTACTGAATTTACCTTTTAAAATCTTCAGCACCACAAACAAAGAGAGTTGGATCTAAACATTTCCTTCCGGCTTCTCCCTCCTGTCCACAGGCTCTCAGCAACGCCAGCAGATCAGAAAACCCTGCTCCACCATTACCTTGGGGGGGGGGGGGGGGCCTGTTCTCACTCCCTGCAGCACAATGAAGATAGCTCACCTGTTAGATTACTGAAATACATTTCTTTATTTAAAAATATCAAACTAATCTTTTTGACATGGAAGTCTTCAAAAGACCAAAATAAAATCAGCAAAATAGCCTTGGACAGAAACTACTATATAGCAGTCAGAGACTTAAATCCCTGATGAACAGGAGAATCAAAGGCTGTGATCCATTGTTAAAATCAATACAAGAGGGCACTGGTTCCTTTGCAGGGGAAAGTTTGACCTCTTGCCCTCATTTCTGATTTGACAGCTCCGATGGAAAAGCACTTAATGCAAAGTGGGGGAGAAAAACGAATGCGGAAGGTCGAAAGCATGAAGGGCGTCCTTGGACCAGGCCCTTATAAATCCAGCCTGTCTAAGGAACCAGGGCTCTGCTCCACCGATAGTCGAATGGGAAGGGCGGATGCACGTGACTGACCAGATGAACCTCCCTGCGGACCCAGGTTGGACTGGAGGACAAGGACTTCTCAGCCCTGCGGACAGCGTGGGGAGGGGACGCCCAGGCCTGAGGCCCGCACAGTCCGGGCCGAGCTCATCCTCCTGAGCCCTCCCTCGCTGTGAGGTTAGTGAGCACACTGTGTGCAGCAGCACTTTTCCTTCCAACATGCAGCGAAGCGTAAACCACAACAGCTGCCCTTCTGAAAAATAAAATGCCGTAAAGAATGCACCGATTCATACCAAGAAACCATCTTTAATAACCATTCAGAAGCTACTTCAAGATGCTAGGACGTATTTGCCCAGTTTGCTACTCATTGGATGCATGCCTGCGAGCACGTCACTGAGCCCCCCAATAGGGGATGAGAGCTGAGAGCACGTCACTAAGCCGCCCAATGGGAGACGCGAGGGCTGCGAGCACCTCACTGAGCCGCCCAATAGGGGATGAGAGCTGCGAGCACGTCACTAAGCCGCCCAATGGGAGACGCGAGGGCTGCGAGCACCTCACTGAGCTGCCCAATGGGAGACGCGAGGGCTGCGATGACATCACTGAGCCGCCCAATGGGAGACGCGAGGGCTGCGAGCACGTCACTGAGCCCCCCAACGGGAGACGCGAGGGCTGCGAGCACCTCACTGAGCCGCCCAATGGGAGACGGGAGGGCTGCGAGGACATCACTGAGCTGCCCAATGGGAGACGCGAGGGCTGCGAGGACATCACTGAGCTGCCCAATGGGAGACGCGAGGGCTGCGAGGACATCACTGAGCTGCCCAATGGGAGACGCGAGGGCTGCGAGGACATCACTGAGCCGCCCAATGGGAGACGCGAGGGCTGCGAGCACGGCACTGAGCCGCCCAATGGGAGACGGGAGGGCTGCGAGGACATCACTGAGCCGCCCAATGGGAGACGCGAGGGCTCCGGGAAGGGACCGCGCCTGGTGCGGACGGACACACGGAGGGACCCGCTCACCAGGCGAACGGCGTGTCCTGGGGGTGGCTGGGTGCAGGCCCACCGCCCCATCTCATCTCAACGGGCGGCAGAGGCAGGAGCCCCGCCCCCTCCCTCCTCTCCGACCCGCAGGGTGTCCGGCCGCCGAGGACCTCAGGGCAGAGCCTCGCCTGCTCCCCGGCTGCACGGCGTCCCGCGCGGCCCGTGCGCAGCAGCTGGGGCACTGGGGCCACGCCGGGTGGTGGGGACGCGCCAGCAGCAGGAGCCGGAGGACACCGCCCCGGGCAGCTGCCTGGAGCTGCTCTCTCCGCATACAAGCCGGGGCACACGTCGGTGCGACGGCAGATGGAGTCGCTGCCGGCCGAGACCGCCGCGCTGAGGCTGGGCTCGCTCGCCGGGCGCCCGGCAGTCGCTGAGCCAGTGCCCTGGCCGGACGACCGGGGAAGGGGAAGGGGAAGGGGCTCGAGCTGGCGGTCAGCGGCAGAGGCCGGGGTAGAGGACGGACACAGTGTCTTTCAGGGGCCCAGTGCTTCTCCGAGTGTGTCCTCCTGCCCCCCCCGCTGTCCCAGATCTCTTCTCTGAAGGCTTATCCATTTTATCGACAGGAATTTTTATAACAATTGTGCTTAGTGTTTTCGTTTTGTTTTGTTTTTTCACAGCTGTTTCGATCCCTGGAATCGGATTCACCAGAGAAGACACGTGGGAGTTAAATCCACAGGAGACCCTCTCAGGCACCGGTGTTTATGTCCTCACGGGCCAGAAGCCGCCTCTGACTCAGGGCAACCGCCCCTCTGACGCCCACCTGGTCTGGGCAGCGCCGCGGAGGCCCAGTCTGTTGGAGCACAACCACCCACTGTCCCCAGATGCGAAGCTGGACTCACCCCACGCGTATCTTCAGCATGCCACTGAACAGCTCGGGGCTGTTGGAGATGACCCAGCCGATGTGGATGACCAGCTCCTGCTGGATGACCGCCTCCCGCTCGTCATGGGTGTTACACTTGTAGTAGATGATGTTCTTGATCACTCTCGGGGACAGAGGGTTCGCTATCACCTCCTCCTCGTGCCCGAAGGCACCCAGAGTTACCTGTGAGTGGTAGGGTTTTACTGTAAAAATCTTCTAGCTACTAAGAGAGAAAAATATTCAGGGCTTGGGATGACTGACAGGCTGAAATGACTCTACGTGAGCTAGGGAATTAGGTAGAATAACTGCTCCTACTTTTTATTAAAATGGCTTTGAAAGCGTGATTCCCACTGGGGTTCGTGACGGTTCACAGCCTGGCCTGGAATCTAAGGGCACGTGAGGGTCCCAGCTCGGGGAGTGGAAGTGAGTGGCTAAAAGCAGGGAAGGAATATAAATAACTATTAAGATAAAACAATTCTGAATGACTTTAGCACTGGAAAGTCCCCAGAGAAACCAGAACACATCAAATAGTTTTACTTTACTGCACAGTCCACACAACTTAACATTTGAGAGGACGTCTTTCGCTTCTTTTTTAGTTTCTTGGATGGAACTTTTTGCTCTTTAACAACACTGCAGCCTGTTCAAGGTTAAGTATGAGGTCGCCCAGCTCTGGCAGAGTGCTAGGTGCCTGGTGAATTCTAAAATACTTGGCAGCTCTCACCTGCAGAGGGGAGTCAATGAGGCCGCCCACGAAGCAGGGAGACCGGAACGCACAGAGGGGCTGACAATGAAAACTCAAAGCAGAAAGTGGCAAGAAGAATCTCTGGTTGCTCTGCTCTGTCCTTGGTGTGTGCCCCCAGAAGGGTCTGCAGGCCCCCTTCCTCATTCCCTCCCCCCCCCCCTTTGTACAGGGCTCAGAGAGGCGGAGTACAGCTTAGGGCTCTCGTGTCCAAAGGGATGGGGGAAAGAGCAGAGTATGGGGCTTTTTGCCCCAATTTTGTGATGGCTGGAAATCAAGGACTTCTGGTTCATTACATCGAGAGTGGAGCCGACCAGTAATCAAGTGTGATTACGGTTATTTTTTTGTTAATCCTCACCTAAGGATATTTTCCCATTGAGTTTTAGATAGAGACGAAGGGTGGAAGGGAGGGAGAGGAAGGGAGACAGAGAGAGACAGACAGACATTGATGTGAAAGAGACACACTGATTGGTTGCCTCCCGCACAATCCTGACCGGGGCCGAGGATCAAACCTGCAACCCAGACATGTGTCACTGACCTGAAATTGAACCCAAGACTCTGGTCCACGGGCCCATGCTCTAGCTGCTGAGCCAGACTAGCCAGGGCCGAGTGTGATTACGTTTCTTAAGATATCAGTGAGTGAAGAAGAAAACAGAACAGGTGCCCCCAGAAGCAACAGCTGAACCTCATCTCATTCCAGAGAGCTCGAAGTGACCAGAGAGTACTGTGCAGAAATATCACTTCAGTTCTCAGAAACGAGCGAATGCAGACTTTGGATGCCCCATTCTAGTTTCCTTACTGTGAGGAAGGAAGACGAAGCCAGTGAATGTGCTGTGTACTGGACTGTTCCCCTGGGAGATGTGCTGGTCTGATGGGCTGTGGTCCAGCCACAGCCTCAGGACAGGCTCTGGGGCTTCCAGGATGTGGGGAGCAGGGTCACAGATCACAGGCTGCAGGTCACTTCTAGACAGTGCACAGAATGGACAAGGCCCACAAGCACTTACGGACGTGCACAGAGTGGACATGGCCCACAAGCACCTACGGACGGTGCAGAGTGGACACGGCCCATAAGCACCTAAGGACGGTGCACAGACTGGACACTGCCCACAAGCACCTACGGACATTGCACAGAGTGGACATGGCCCCTCTAAGCTGCCCTCTCCCCAGGTGTCAGGTGGCAGTGGCCCCAAAGATCTGGAAACCTCATGTGCTCAGCTGTAGTGGAACTAACTGTATTCTCAGGTGTGGTGCAGGGTCCTGACCCAGGGAAAACAGCTTCCAGAGCCTGGTTACTTCCTTTCAGAAGCGGCGCGGAGCAGGGCGCCGGCACAGGACTCTGCTGGAGACAAGGACCGCATGGGGGGTGGGGGGTGCATGAGTTACTCCCTGTACCCTGGACTGCTGATCTGACTAATGGGGATGGACATTCTACCTCTTACTAATTTGAAGAAGACAGAAAAAATAACATGTGAAAAGTGGTGTAACTTATTTTTAGGCATTTTCTTATTACTACCATCATTTTTTTAAAAACTCATTTGAGAAGAAGGGAGAGAGAGAGAGAAATTGATGTGAGAGAGAAACATCGATTGGTTGCCTCCTGTACGCACCCTGACTGGGGATCGAACCCACAACTTTTTTGGTGTATGGGATAACGCTCAACCAACTGAGCCACCTAGCTGGGCTACAGGAATGTTTCCTTGTTATTATTATAGGATACAATAAATAACTGGTAACATTTCGAAAGCTGGCCATCAGGATGAAATAGCTTCAACCATAATGAGCCGAGAGCCCTGGAGCAGGAACAATGGGTTGATTTCATTAAAGAGAGTAACATCCTTCATAACTCTAAAGCTCGGTGCATCCCTGGGTGAACTTTCAGGAAATCACAACAAAGCACACATACTCCCAAAGAAGAGGAAGAAAGCACACAGGTTTGCATTCCAACCAAATGAATCAGCCAGGTGATCAGAGCTCACAGACAAACCGAGCAGCCGCGTCCCATTCGGCATGAGCACATGCACAGGCTCAATCCAGCCCACGTCCGCCAGTGCCCCCTCGGGCCAGAGCCCAGGCCAGGCACACTGGACAGTGCCGGACAGGACCTGGGCCCTGACCTCCGGGGCTCACAGCCAACCCTCTGGTGACAGACATCCTTCAAAGGAACTGGGATCCAGGGCAGCTTGTGAGAAGGGTCACGGGCCTACCAGGAGGACCCAGATGTGGCTGTGAGGAGCAGCTGACAAGAGCTGACCCGTGTGGAAGGGGAGAAGTGGTCCAGAGAGTTAAAGATTGGGGAGACAATGCACCCTGAGGGGGGAGAAAGTCTCCTGTGAAGGAGAAGGGACAGGCGTCTGCTCCGCACCTGTCCGCCCCTCCCCTGAGCCTGGCCGGAGGGCTTCAGCAGGCATTCCATTTTCTGGGTCAGTACCTTCCTTAATCTCGAGTTGACCCAGGGACTGAAATAACAGCTCTGCGCTGCAGCAGGAGAAAGGGCTGGTCTGTCTGTTCAGTGACTGCATCTCTAAGACGAGGCTTTGCTTGGGGAAGATCCTTTTGTAGATATGCCTGAGTCACTGGTGGTGTGGTTATGGGGCCCGACGCCACGGAGGGTGTCAGACTTAAACGCCAAGGGTCCTATCCGGGAGCTTTTGTGGTTGCGACCGAGTAGGAGTCTGAAGACCGGGCACTTACCTGTTTGCCCTGCACTAAAACGTTAGTAATGGAGGGGGCCAGGCTGTCCACTACTTTATTTAAGAGGCTTGCTGCGTGGCGTACAACCGACCTGGGGGCAAGAAGAGAGCAGGCCAGAGGTTCAAAATCTAGCAGATGACGAGTGAAGGGGGCCCAGGGAGGGAGAACTTAGTAACAGGCACAATTAGGTCTTCACATAATAATTTGGAGGGAACGCTGAGCCCAAGACACTGGACCTAACAGCTGACATTTCCCAGATGCAGGACCGACCTGCAGGACCAGGAGGGGCCAAACCTCGGCCACAGCATCCCTGTGCCACTATCAGTGATACGGAAGGAAGGGGCCTCGCTGTGCCTTTGATGGGGCGGGGCAGAGGGGAGCTCAGTGGCGTTAAGCAATCGTGACCAAAGCTGGCTTGTCCTCGGTTCCTATAACCGCTCTAAGTCATGGCTTCCGATGCCCCGATAACCAAACCCCTGGGTTACAGAGCTCAGTCCTCAGCTTTAGGAAGTGCTACAATGAAATACCAGCATTTTCCTCTCGATAAAGCCAGAATGTTGGAGGAAGGAATTCACACTGCTATTTTTACATTCCTGAAAAAGTCTTAGACTATAAGGAGAACAGATTTTTTTAAAGCATAGCACATGCAAAACATAAGACTCCCCACCCCCCCAAAAAAGTGAAAATTCATGTGGAACTTTTAGATGAAAAAAAATTTAAATGTAGGTTTAAAACTGTTTTCTTGTATTTTAAGATACTCTGAAAGGTGACCTATAAAAAGCATTCACAATCCTTCATCTCAAAGCAGATGGAAGAGTAAAAATTCAGTCAATAACAGACAGAGTTAGTGAACAGACACTTCCCACTCTTAGAAAGCTCGGGCCCCTGTACCGGAGACCAAAGGTGTTTAACCCTCAGATGCAAGAAAGCCCACACGTCAAGCCGCACCTGGCGCACGCTGCGCGTGTTACCTGCTTCCCGTGAACCAGTAAGGTGGTAATGTGCGGGGCTATGGAGGAGGAAAATTTCTGGGTAAATGCAGCCCCGTAGCGAACCGCCAACCTGGGTGTGTCAGTGCGGAGCCATAGAAGGGAAAATACAGTAAATAAAACTTCCGGGAGTTTGCTCTTTTAAACATAATAGCACTGTCAATGTTTGCTGGTCAATGACTGATCTAAAATGCAAGTGTGACACATGAAGCAAAAACAGGTTTGCTTAGCCAGCGGAAGACACCGACCACGTCTGACCTTCACCAGCTAGAGGGCAACACCGAGTAGCTTGCACGCCTTCCTGTGCTGAGAATTTACCGTGAGACACTGAGCCCTAACCACGGGCTCATCACATGACCTCTTCTGGGTTGGAGTGGTATGTTCAGTATAATCAGAGTTGGAATACTGCTAACAGACTGTTTCATCAATATTCTTATTTTAGGGAATAGACACCTGAGGCTCACTCAGGTTAAGGGAGTATCTTACATTTCTTGAGACTTTTTTTTTTCCAAACTTAGAAAATAATGGGTCACCTAAAAATACACATATACTCTTACTTTCAAAATGTTAGATTCTGCTAGTAAGACTGTTAGAATTGCTTCAAAGTGCAGAGAGCCGTGCATTCAGGCATATTACCCACAGTGAACTGAAACCGTTTTATTTAACTTACCCAACTTTTGCTGCAACCCCTGGGAAGAGACCACCCCTGCAGAACACTGGTCATTTCTCACGAAGCAGCTACCGGCCCGGGAGCCAGTCAGCTAAGTGGGGAGAGACCTGCCTTCCCGGTGCCCTCCTGTGCTCGTGGGGAGGGAGCCACGGCCCTCGGTGACTTCCACGACAGCAGGGCGGGGCCCTGAGCTCAGAGCAGAGCCTCGCGCTCCTGCTGGGACAGGAGGGCCAGGCCACTCAGGTGCCTCCCGCGAGCAATCGCAGGCCTGTGCCTGACGGAGGTCTTTCTCGCCGGGCATTTAAACTGTCAGAGCCCCGGTGCCCTGGAATGCAGGCATCACAGAGCTGCGTCCTCGGAGCTGCAGTGTGCAGCCAGGACAAACACCACCTCTGAGGTCGGCCCGTTATCTTCCGGCTACCGACTAGCACAAGGAATGAACACAATGACAAGGACACTGATACAAACCAAAGCTTTCTGCTGCCAGCTTTTCTATAGACTCTCTCGATGTGATCGGAAACGGTACCTAGTCGGAGAAGAGAGCCTTTGTTGGAAAGAGGTTTTCATGAAATGCTTAACATTCATTCTCCTTTAAAAAAAATCACTCTTGAATTTCCACTTTGTTCCACTAGAGTTGGTACATCCATACTCATTAATGTTCTGAACTGCCTGCAATATTTAAATATGTAACCCAAATAAATAGTGTATCTGTACCTACCCTTGTTACTAGTTTAAGCATATAATTTTAGGGAGTACTTTCTCAAAATTTATTTATTTATTTATTTTTTCATCCTCACCCGAGGACATTTCTCCATCTATTTCAGAGAGTGGGAAGGAGAGAGAGAGAAAGAGAAACATCTATGTGAGAGAGACACATCAACTGGCTGCCTCCTGCATGACCCCAACCAGGGCCGGGGACACACTGCAGCTGAGGTAGTGCCCTTGACTGGAATTGAACCCGTGACTCCTTGGTCCGTGGGCCGACACGAACTGCTGAGCCAAACAGGCCAGGGCTCAAAATTTATTTTCTTAGTTAATATGCGATCTAAGTTTTTAACAAGTAAGAGTAAGTTATTTTGATTCACTGCAGAAAATAAGAAACAGCTACAGCCAGTGGAGCGCCTGCTGCGGACTGCGGATACAGATGAGCCTCACTCCATCGTTGGACAGCGTGGAGAGCAGGGGTGGGGCGCGCGGAGAGCAGGCGCGCGGAGAGCAGGCGCGCGGAGAGCAGGCGCGGGGGCGCGTGGAGAGCAGGGGCGCGGAGAGCAGGGGCGGGGGCGCGCGGAGAGCAGGGGCGCGGAGAGCAGGGGCGCGGGCGCGCAGACACAGCTACTGCCCAGAGGCCGCGCCCTGGCCAGTTCTCAGGTGGGGCCTCAGGTCTGCCCTGTCCGTAAGCTAACCCCGTAAGCTAACCCCGTAAGCTAACCCCCTGACGGGGCAGAGCACCAAGAGACCTGGGGTCAGGGGTGAGATCTTCATTTTACCCTGAACTTATTTCTATAGTTTTAGAACAAATTGGATAAAATCACATGTAGATTCTCTACGTGCGTGTGATTTCCAATATATCATAAGGTTTTACAGATTTAAAACATTTAACTCTTTCAAATATCTAAGTGAAAGATAAGAATTACTCCCGTTTACAAAAATGGTTTAAAAATTATTCCCTCAGCATTTTCATGATAAACTATTTTATAAAAATATTGTTTTATTTTATTTTACTATTACTATTATTTTAAATCCTCACCCAAGGATATTTTTCCTTTATTTTCAGACAGAGATGGAGGGAGGGAGGGGGAAGAGGAGGGAGAGAGAGAGAGAAACATCGACATGAGAGGGACACATCGACTGGTTGCCTCCTGCACGACCCAACCAAGCTGGGGACTGAACCACAACTGAGGTACGTGCCCTTGACTGGAATCGAACCCAAGACTCTCTGGTCTGTGGGCCGATACTCTAACCACTGAGCCAAACTGGCCAGGGCAAAGTATTGTTTTATTTTAAAGCACTACTAAAATAACCATTCTAGAATCCAGGTTCCTAATAAAATGTTTGCCTTTTTAAAATTCTATTGTTTTAAAGGATAAATTTCGATGAATGTCCTCAATATAACTGGGATTCTGCTTATACTTACAGTTTCAAGACTAAATAGAAATGAGGAATTCTGTTTCAAATTTGCTTAGTTCTTTTGCCTTTAATTAGTTAAGAAAATTAAGATGATTCCATTCACACGCATAATATTCAAGGTTATCTCTTAGCTACAATAATGTAAAAACTAAGTAGACCTTACTTGAATAAGGAATTATGTTTAGTTCACTACCAAAACTATAAGTCTTATTAATTACACTGATGTTTAAACACTGACTCGACTTCCAGCTCTAACAAAGTCAGCACGCCCCACGGACAGGGGACTCCCGATGAGCTGGACCCGAAGCACTGGACTGGGCTCCATGTGACCCTGTACGAGGAAATGCAGGGAAGGCACCGGGCAGAGCTGAGTGCACACGGGTCAGGGACACTGGGCTCCATGTGACCCTGTACGAGGAAATGCAGGGAAGGCACCGGGCAGAGCTGAGTGCACACGGGTCAGGGACACTGGGCTCCATGTGACCCTGTACGAGGAAATGCAGGGAAGGCACCGGGCAGAGCTGAGTGCACACGGGTCAGGGACACTGGGCTCCATGTGACCCTGTACGAGGAAATGCAGGGAAGGCACCGGGCAGAGCTGAGTGCACACGGGTCAGGGACACTGGGCTCCATGTGACCCTGTACGAGGAAATGCAGGGAAGGCACCGGGCAGAGCTGAGTGCACACGGGTCAGGGACACTGGGCTCCATGTGACCCTGTACGAGGAAATGCAGGGAAGGCACCGGGCAGAGCTGAGTGCACACGGATCAGGGACACTGGGCTCCAGTGACGCAGAGTGGCCATGGGCACCACCCGAAGTGATTTACTTCCGTGAACAATCTTGGTGCCACGTTCCAGCCCAAATGGCTGCTGCGGACCATGTGGCCGCTAGCTTGTTTTTATAGGATAACAATTCAGTTCTGTTCTTGAAAACATCCAGAAAGTGATACTGGAAACAGAAACTGTCTGTGAACAACTGTGGTTAAGAGTCTCGGGCAGGCCCTGGCCAGTCTGGCTCAGCAGTTAGCACATCGGCCTGCGGTCCAGAGAGCTGGGTTGGGTTCCCACTAAGGGCATGTACCCCGGTTGCAGTTTGTCCCCAGCCCTGGTTGGTCGTGCGGGTGGCAGCCACTCGATGTGTCCCTTTTATGTTGATGTTTCTCTCCCCCCACCCCCCCATCTGAACAAAAAATGGAAAAATGTCCTTGAGTGAGGATAAAAAAAAACGAGTCTCAGGCAGAATTCCGTCTGAACGGTCAGAGAAACGCCCTCCCGTCACTGAGTGACCGAGTGCTCGCACATACACGGTCTACTCCGCCCTGGGCGTTATCCTGAGCCTTTCCCACTCAAAGTGTCTGAGAAGATTTCAAGAATAAAACCTGTGATGCTGTGGACATTCGTCACGTGTGTCTGGCGGATGTCTGACAGCGGAGCAGGCCCTCTGTCTGGCGTGTTCTCAGACACGCGCTTACCTTCCTTCGTGATGAAGTTGGGGCCTTCCCTCTTGAGCAGGACGCCCAGCAGGATGACCTGGCTTGCCAGACAGCTGCAGTCCTGCAACACAGATCGCGGGAGTGGCAGACAGGGTGAATGACCGCACAGCCACCCGAGGCAGAGGGGACTCTGCCAGGCACTGAGCAAAGAGAACATGTCACGGCCCTACCACTAAGCATGAGGTGGTACAACTATTCACCTTAGATATCGGGGAGACGGATGGTAGACCAGCTGGCTTCCTGGCTACTAGGACTTAATAATCAAATTGCCCAGGAAACAAGAGAAGCAACAGACAGAAAATAAGTTCTCCATGAGCGTTCATGCTTCTGCCACGCGGAGACCTGCCCACCCTTAACCACTGCTTCCTGCCTGGACGTACTGGTAACGGGAGACCGCGCGGCCTTGGAGCTGCGCGATGGGTAGGGGCAGGGATGGGCACTGTGCGCTTTAGGTCTGGTGTGTCGGATTCAAGCTCATGTGGATCCGTCGGTAATACTGGTCGGTAACAGAGACGGGCTGGCTGCAGGGCGCACACTCAGCCAACACACCCGCACCCCACGGCGGCGCGGGGGCGGTGGGCACAGCCCTGCCACCAGAGCTGCGTCTCTCTGGTGAGCACTGCTCTCCACCTCGCCACTGCAGGGACAGGAGTCGAGGCTGCTACATGACATTCGTATGGCTGTGGCCACAGGGACTGCAGAGGCGAAGGGCTGGGGCAGGAGGCAGGGCCGGCTGCCACAGGAAGACGCGGCTGGAGGTCCTGGAGCCAGTGCCATGACGCGCCTTCTGTGGCGGCCCCCGCAACACTTGTGCCCGCAAGACCCACTCACCCCCGCTGCGTGAGCATCTGTGAGCCACCCGTGCTCACTCCGACCAGAGAACCCGCCCCGGGCAGACAGGCCATCCGCCGTGTACGGCGCCCTCTCCGAGAGCCAATCAGAAGCACGGCCTGCCCTGGGCCCCGTGGGCCCCTCCGCCCCCCTCGGCCACCCTGCAGTGGCTGCTCCTCACTTGCAGTTTCCGCAGGACGTCCTGGGTGGGTCTGTTCTTCCATTCGGCCACGGTGACATCTGGCTGCTGCTCCAGCTCAGGACTGTTGGAGGCGCTGCTCTGTCGTTTGACTTTTGAATGTTTGGGAAGCTCCAGTTCCTCAAAACTCTTAAATTCTGGAAGCCTAGAGACCAGGAGGAAAAGCTTCAGATTGCCCGTACTTCCGGTGTGACCGCAAGAAGCAGGAGAACAGCCCGAAGGGACTTACTGCTCCGTGTCGCTGATGCGCAGGAAGTCCAGCTGTTCCACCACCGCGCCGGATATCAGCGTCTGGAAGGGGACCAGGGCTCGAGTCTTGGATTCACCCAGCCCAGCCCTATGATCTGCGCACATACTTCACTGTGAGCACGGTAATACTCCAAAAACTCTGCCTCAGAACTACACAACTCTCCTGTTTCTAAGTGGGCGCTCTCACATCAGAGAGGTCTGCACACCCCGCAGACCCCACACAGCAGCACGCGAGCCGTCCCGAGCCTGCACGGAGGAACAGCACTTCCTCGCTGGTCTTAGAACTGCGGTTATTTTTAGGCTGACATAAAATTCGTGACCCATTAAAATGTTAAATATATATATATTAAATATGTTTATTGATTTTAGAGAGAGAGACAGAAACATGGACTGGCTGCCTCCTACACGCCCCCCACTGGGGATCGGGCCCACAACCTGGGCATGTGCCCTGACCGGGAATCGAATTGGCAACCTCCGGGTGCATGGTCGACGCTGAACCACTGAGCCACACCGGCCAGGCTAAAATGTTAAAAATATTTTGAGATGAAAACACGAAATGCTGCAATTGTTTTGGGAAAAGAGCATGTAAATCGCTAGGTCCAGACCCTGCATGGACAGCACGGACCATCGAAGGACCGGTCCACTCGGTGTGTGAGAGGGGGTCCTGGAGGCTCAGGCCGTGGGGCAGACTCTGCTCCACCTTCTGACCAGGCAGAGCGGGGGGAGGGGAAGTGCCCCAGGGCCAAGAGGAAGCTGGGACATGGCTGTCAAAACCCAGGGGACAGATGAGTTCCGCTCGGACCACAATGTCAGTGCTCCGGAGAACGGGAAGCAGTCTGACTCTGGATATGATCTAAGAAGAAAAGCGATGTGATAATGGACTGTAATGTGGGTATAAAGAAAGGGAAGAGTCAATACTGAATTCTCAAAGCTGATAACTGATACTGAAAACTAAGAACATTATTTTGATTTCTATTTTCTATTTTACTGGCCCACCCACCCTTATGTACTAATTTAGCCCATAAAGTAAATGTCTGATTGGAGTTAACAGGCAAATACTAAATTCCATGAACAGTCTCTAGAGCTTTTAATTTAAAAAATTCAGTTGGTTGCAAAGGTTCCTGAATTAGTCAGATAAAAAGCATTATAATCAATTTGCTAGGCATTGACCTTAGTTTTGGTGGTAATCAAACAAACAGTCATGTATGTGTCAAATGCAATGTGATATTCAAGGCCTCCTGCTCTGTGACACTCCGGTGCATCCTGCCGGGTCCTTTCCACCCGAATGTCCACCTGAGACCACGCCCCCATCATGCCGCAACCCCACTGGCTTTGCTCCCCGTTAGGCTCCCCGACTAGAATGAGTCCCGTGAGCAGGGACCGGCTAGGGAAATCTTGGAGAGCGCGAACTAAAATCCAGAGGAAATGTAGGGAGGCCACTTCCATTTTCTGTCTCGAAGAGAAGACAAAGGCTGGGTGGTGGGGAGGGGTTGCTTAGTGGGCAGAGCTTCCGTTCTCCGAGACGCAGCCATGCCCACAAGCCCACGGCTGTCAAAGCCACGTCAGCCCTCCGGCCCAGCCCCCTCACATGCAGGACTGAGGCCAGAGAGGAGCTTTGGAGGCCGAAGCTCTCCCTGGGGAGTCACTGCACTGGCCCAGGCGTCAGACTGAAGGACCAGGCGTCAGACTGAAGGACCAGGCGTCAGACTGAAGGACCAGGGAGACACAGGAACGGGAATCAAGCCTCAGTCAGAACCTTCACTGGAACACGAATCAGGAAACAGAGCTGTTTCTCGCCCTGGCCAGTTTGGCTCAGCGGTCAGAGCGTCAGCCCGAGGACCAAAGGGTTGCAGGTTTGATTCCTGGTCAAGGGCACGTACCTCGGTTGTGGGTTTGATCCCCGGCCCTGGTTGGGGTTGTGCGGGAGGCAACCGGTCAGTGTCTCTCTCTCACATTGATATTTCTTTCTTGCTCCCTCCCCCTCTGTCTGAGATAAGCACTGGAGAAATACCCTTGGGTGAGTATTAAAAAAAAAAAAGGAAACAGCTGCTTCCTGACGGATGAAGCGTCCCGACAGCAGACGCACGCGCAGGGGAGAAGGCTACCTGCAGACGGTCGACGTGCACTTTGACCCCTCCGACCACTCCTTTCTTGAAAGCTGCCAGCATGTCCAGGATGGGGTTGAACCGGCTACCTCTGAGGTACAAACGGATGGACAGAACGTGCACATTAACAACTGAACGAGAAACTCACCGTCTAATACCAAGAGCCCTTTACAGACGCAAAGCGCCCTGCCCGCCCGGGCGGGACAGACAGCAGGCCCCGCGCTGATGGCGGCGGGACGCGGGCACCTCACGTCTCCCGTCCACTGACCTGATGTTGTCCTCCCGGATGAGGACGAGGAAGAGGGGGCGCCCGTGCATTTTCCAGTACTGCTTGATGAATTGCAGAGCGTTCTGTGGGACGAGAGCGAGGCGGGGTGCATGACCTGGTGTCCACGCTGACCGGTGCTCAGCCATCATGGCACAGGGCCAACGGGACCCGGACCCAGCGGGTCACTCGCAGTCCCTCCCGGGAGCATGGGGACTGCTCGGGGTAGACGTGTTCTCGTACAACCAGCATACAAGCAGCGTGTGGACAAGTTGAGGCAGAAAGACCTTTTACTTTCAACTCTGTTCCTTAGGGTAAGCTCCGCGGGGAGACGCGAGGGAGCTCTGTCTGTGGCTCACACACGCCGCTCAAGAACGGCCCAGGCAGGAGAGCCAGCCCGGCGATCCCCCGGACCAGTTCCCACTGCACTGCGAGCGCGTATCGCAGGAGGTGGAAGAGGTCGGGCGGAACCTGCACAGGCCTCCAGAAGCCAGGCCTTCTCCACCTCGGCTCCGACTGTCCTCGTGGTCAGACGGGCCTGCCCGCACCGCGCCAGGCCTGTTCCGAGCGCTTCCCGCACCTTAACGCATCTAGTCCTCACAACACGTCCTCGTCCAACAGAACGATGGGAAAACAGGGACACACAGAGGGGTTAAGTAACCTGCCCCAGGCCATACGGCTGGTCGAGGGTGGGCCCCAGTTCTACCAGTGAGGCCGGCTGCAGGCGCCACGCTCTGGTCCGCTGAGCTTCCCCACGGTGACGGTGGGCGAGGGAGTGGGGAGGTTTAACTGCTGGGTGTCATGAGTTAGGGAGGTTTTCCTTGACATTCTCCATAAATAAAATTATTCTGCAAACTCAGCTTTTGTTCAAAAGGAGAGAATCCATCGGTGTTGCGGGTACATAGTTTCGAAGCAAAGCCAGACAACTTGGTATAAAACACCCTTCTCTCATCTAGACCACAAGCGACCCCGTCTGCCCCGCGGCCCACCGGCCATCGCCTCCCTCCCACTTCACACTGCGCCCCAGGGCAGAGCCCGGGAGCCCCGGCGTGAGGACACACGGTGAAGGGAGCCCCATCTCCCCGCAGCCCACTGGCCATCGCCTCCCTCCCACTTCACACTGCGGCCCACCGGCCATCGCCTCCCTCCCACTTCACACTGCGCCCCAGGGCAGAGCCCGGGAGCCCCGACGTGAGGACACACGGTGAAGTGACCCCGTCTCCCCGCGGCCCTGCAGCCATCGCCTCCCTCCCACTTCACACTGCGCCCCAGGGCAGAGCCCGGGAGCCCCGGCGTGAGGACACAGGGGGAGGTGAGCCCGTCTCTGTGAGGTGCACCTTTATGTCGTCGATCAGCAGCAGGACGTCCTGGGACATGTAGAAGTCGCTCAGGTCGAAGATGATGGGGTAGCAGACCACAGTCTTCCCCAGAATGCGGTAGATCTGTGCGGGGAAACCAGAGTGAACACGGACCCGCCAGAGGGGAGGGGCGGCCACAGAAGCCAAGGGAAATGACAGCTGCTGTCCAATGCTGGACAAGCAAATACAGCGTCTTGTGAAAACAGACAGTGCTAAGAAATTCTGAAGCCCCTTGACTGAGCCTGCGTGCCAATAAACAGTGCCCCCCACGAGTGCCCCGCCCCCGGTGGGACAGCCTCTGAGCAATGCCGTCGGGGCCAGGTGTCTTATGACCCTTCGTAATGACAGAGCAAGTGGGGTGCTTCCTCATTCCTAGAGGACTCTCGTGACGTCATGCAAAACAAATACAAGACTGACTTATAAAGAATAAACTAGGGAACGCGCCACGCATGAGCGTTTCAGTGTGTGCGGTGCCTCCAGCCCCACGCACGAGGGAGTTCACGAGCACCTTTGAGGAGCCGAGGCAGCCGATGGGCCTGTCCGGCCTCCCCGAGAGTCCGAGCTTCTCGTTGACGCCCAGATGGAAATAGGCCTGCGGGACACACGTGAATCAGTCAGGCAGGCATCCGTGCGTGTCCTCGCTTGCCCCTCCGTGGCCCCGAGCCCGACTTGCCCAGCCTCCTCTCTGGCTGGGAAGAGAGCCCGCATATGCTGGAGGACGCCCGAAGAGCTGGTCTGGGGACTGGCACCGGGTCTGGGTGCGGCCGGGGGTGAGGTGCAGGCGGCACCTCCGAGGCCCTGCGGCCCGTGAAGGGTGCACCCCTTCTCCAAGCTGGCCTTCCCTGGGGCACAGGCTCTGGGCAAAGACTCTGAGGGCGGCCTTGGTGACCCGACCGCGATCGCTTGAGAGACAGTGTTCCAAATACTCCCACCAAACATGGTGGAGTTGGCTTCTGTATCGAGCAGTTTCCCAGTAAGACTGGTAGTTTATAATAACGAGTGCAAGTCACCAAGGTCCGTCCCCAAGGAGCAGGGACATAGCTAACCACACACGTGTGCCCACCTGTGGAGCAGGGACATCGCTAACCACACACACGTGTGCCCACCTGCGGAGCAGGGACATCGCTAACCACACACACGTGTGCCCACCTGCGGAGCAGGGACATCCCTAACCACACACACGTGTGCCCAACTCTGGAGCAGGGACATCCCTAACCACACACACGTGTGCCCAACTCTGGAGCAGGGACATCGCTAACCACACACACGTGTGCCCACCTGCGGAGCAGGGACATCCCTAACCACACACACGTGTGCCCAACTCTGGAGCAGGGACATCCCTAACCACACACACGTGTGCCCAACTCTGGAGCAGGGACATCGCTAACCACACACACGTGTGCCCACCTGCGGAGCAGGGACATCGCTAACCACACACACGTGTGCCCACCTCCGGAGCAGGGACATCCCTAACCACACACACGTGTGCCCACCTCCGGAGCAGGGACATCCCTAACCACACACGTGTGCCCACCTGCGGAGCAGGGACATCGCTAACCACACACACGTGTGCCCACCTGTGGAGCAGGGACATCGCTAACCACACACGTGTGCCCACCTGCGGAGCAGGGACATCCCTAACCACACACGTGTGCCCACCTGCGGAGCAGGGACATCCCTAACCACACATGTGTGCCCATCTGCGGAGCAGGGACATCGCTAACCACACACACGTGTGCCCACCTGCGGAGCAGGGACATCCCTAACCACACACGTGTGCCCACCTGCGGAGCAGGGACATCCCTAACCACACACGTGTGCCCACCTGCGGAGCAGGGACATCGCTAACCACACACGTGTGCCCACCTGCGGAGCAGGGACATCCCTAACCACACACGTGTGCCCACCTGCGGAGCAGGGACATCCCTAACCACACACGTGTGCCCACCTGCGGAGCAGGGACATCCCTAACCACACACGTGTGCCCACCTGCGGAGCAGGGACATCCCTAACCACACACGTGTGCCCACCTGCGGAGCAGGGACATCCCTAACCACACACGTGTGCCCATCTGCGGAGCAGGGACATCCCTAACCACACACGTGTGCCCACCTGCGGAGCAGGGACATCCCTAACCACACACACGTGTGCCCACCTGCGGAGCAGGGACATCCCTAACCACACACACGTGTGCCCACCTGCGGAGCAGGGACATCGCTAACCACACACGTGTGCCCACCTGCGGAGCAGGGACATCCCTAACCACACACGTGTGCCCACCTGCGGAGCAGGGACATCCCTAACCACACACGTGTGCCCATCTGCGGAGCAGGGACATCCCTAACCACACACTTGTGCCCACCTGCGGAGCAGGGACATCCCTAACCACACACGTGTGCCCACCTGCGGAGCAGGGACATCCCTAACCACACACGTGTGCCCATCTGCGGAGCAGGGACATCCCTAACCACACACACGTGTGTCCACCTGCGGAGCAGGGACATCGCTAACCACACACTCGTGTGCCCACCTGCGGAGCAGGGACATCCCTAACCACACACACGTGTGCCCAGCTGCGGAGCAGGGACATCCCTAACCACACACACGTGTGTCCACCTGCGGAGCAGGGACATCCCTAACCACACACGTGTGCCCACCTGCGGAGCAGGGACATCCCTAACCACACACGTGTGCCCACCTGCGGAGCAGGGACATCCCTAACCACACACGTGTGCCCATCTGCGGAGCAGGGACATCCCTAACCACACACGTGTGTCCACCTGCGGAGCAGTGCGTGCAAAAGGCCTCGTCACCTTTCTCCAATCCGACAGGTGTGTGCTGCATCAGAGACAAACCCAGAGGTAACTTTATCATTATTTTGAGACCCAGCAAACCAAAGGGTTAGGAATTACTTCGGACTGCAAATAGTAAGGCAACAGAAAGAGTAGTTATTACCAATAAATATTAGATGCGAAGGTGTCCTTCAGTTAATAAAAGGGGAACAGTCAGATCAAATGTGAAGGCTAATTTTCCACACTACTAAAACTGAGGCGATTCTATGTAAGGGCTCAGCCTGGGTCAGTCACCGCGAGTGGAAGCCACAAGCCGGTGGACAGGACGCACACGCACACACGGCTGTTTCCTTAGCAGCCACGTCCGGGAAAGTGGGTTTCTCAGCTCACGTAGAGAGACTCTGGATGAGTGCCCTTGTCTTAGAAGTGGAGGGTCACTCTGCATCTTGGCTGTCCTCTAAGCCTGACCCCCCCCCCCGGCTCCTGCCCCACCCCCCAGAGTGGACAGTAAGGGGCAGAACCACCCACCTTCACAAGCTCCTGCTGGGCCCAGATCTGAATGGGTTCCACCTGCTGAGGAGTCTGCGTCTGAATTCCGTACGTGTTGAGGAAAACTTGAAGGCTGAAGAACACAGGCAAAGGAGAGACTTGGAGACAACGGGGAGCAGCGGGGAGCCGGCAGAGGAGGAGGAGACCGTGCTGACAGGCGCCCATTTCATTTGTTCAGGGAAGCAGCAGCCATCTGCCCTGGAACCCAGAGGCTCTTCACAAAACGTCAGATGGGAGCTTTGGGGACTGGCCGGCAGGGCGGGCACTGACTTGGGGGATCCCCGTAATCTGCATACTGATGTCTCAAAACTGCACCCGGGGCAACAACGCCACTGGTTACAGCCAAGAAGATGCACATCGACGGACACCAGTGATGGTTGAGCATGAAAAGAATGTTGTCCCGGTCCTTACAGGCACGTCCATGACAACCTTCGAACCCCGTCAAGGGCTCTATGAACTGAATCTCGACCACCACACTCAACATCGTGAGCACGCAGCACCCAGCACCCCCCCCCCTCAAGAACCACCGCCCGCCCGGTCTCCTACCGCTGGCTTTCCGCTATGAGTGCCACGTGGACCACCACGTCGTTCTCCAGGGGGCCCTGCAACACAGGAGAGGCGGGATGTTTGGATCTGGTCGTCACGCTGCGTGAGCGCCGGGTCCTGTCCCTGCCAGTGATGGACACAGCTGCCGTGAGCGGCGCCTCCCTCCGTGCTCCCGCCGCCTGCGCAGCGATCCCGGTGCGGACAGAGTGACGGACACCAAGGCACGGAAAGCCCCGGATCTGACCAGCACCAGAGGGCTAGCCTGTCAGGGCTCTTTGGAAGGATGCATAAGAGTAGTTTGGGGACGGAGAGTCACGTCCCATCATTTAACTCTGAAGGGAAGGGGAAGAACTAAAACTAAAAGCCCAATGTGTGTATTTTCTGTAAAAAAAAAAAATGATTGTGAGTTAAAATTATTCACTTGACACCTTAACCGCAGATAAGGCTATTTCCTTCCTGGTCAGCCAGTTTTCCTTTGAAACCTTACACATCAAAACAGCTTTATCCTAATACATAGTTCCCACGGTGGAGAAGGAGCCACCCAGGTGACGCACGGTGTCCATTAGGGGCAAGCTGTTGGGCTTCATCGTTCTAATCAAAGACAGTGTTGGACGTGGCTGCTCGGCTTTGTTGAAGAAGATTCGCTCTAGCACACAGTACACACTGAGCCAGTACACAATGAACAGAGAACATTAAGAAGCACCCATAAATGACAGTATTAGGAGGCTCTGAAAATACTGATCAAATATAATTTCTTTGTAGTAATGAACGCAACATGCCCAGGAGCATGCTGTAAACATATGACTGTCCGCTGGTCCCGCAGGGCACTGAGGGCGCCGCTGGGATTCATGGATGACGGGAGACAGACACGCCAGAGTACGCCCGTCAGCCGCAGGAGTCACGCCGCCCAAGGCGCCGTCCCCAGAGGCATCATGAAGATGTCATTCAGGCAGATGGCCACGTGATTCAATAGAACGTTTAAGAGAAAATATGATGTAACAACCCGACAGAAATAAATTTATATTAAAAATGCTATAAATTCTATGTTTCTTTGATAAAGACCTTAACAGTTCATCGAAAGGATGAGAAAAAAAATGAATTATTCAGAGGCCCATGGAGATTTCTGACGACAAATTACAGCAGTGGCCTCGTTCCTCTCGGATGAAGTCCAGGGTCTGCCCCACCAGGAGGGCAGCCTCGGGGCATGTCGCCCAGTCTGCGGACAGTCAGTCCTTACATAAAAAGCGAGTGAGTGACTTTGTATACTAGAATGCAGACGGTATTTCAATAATAATAAATAAGGCAGCTTACAGCTCCTAATTAGCACTCGGGTGTCCTTGTGAATCACAGGCCTGTTGAGGATAACGCTGCTTCATCTGCATAACAGACTCCTCAGACTAAAACCCACTACCCTGGTGACTAGAAGTAAGCATCTGGTTAGGAGACTAGGCGGAAGAACTCCTTCACTGTAAAAACAGCTTTTCAGGAAGTTCCCCTCACAAACCATCTGCCTTCGCGATCTGCGCCCTCCAACCCCAGCCCAGGTGGGGCCCTCCGCCCACTCTCCACCCACGAGAGAACTCGGCATGGGCGTCCCCGCCCGGCGGCTGCTTCTACTGACAAAGTGGGAACCACCTTCCCCTGTTTTCACCGTTTCCTTCAAACCACCAACACCGTTGTCTGAACCCATGAAATCTCTCGGAGAACGTCCTAGTGTTAACTAATACCTTATATTTCTGAATGGTGGTTTCCTTAATAATATTGTGGTATTTTCTGCCTTTTACGGGGAGGGGGGGTGTAAATCCTCACCTGAGGATATTTTTCCATTGACCTTTTTAGACAAGTGAAAAAGAGGGATGGAGAGAGGGGGAGGGGGAGGGGGGGAGAGAGAGAGAGACGTGGATGTGAGACATATTGATTGGTTGCTTCCTGCATGACCCCAACCAGGGCTGGGGATCGAACTTGCAACCCACGTATGTGCCTTTGACTGGAATTGAACCCACAACCCTTTGGTCCAAGATCCAATGCTCTAACCACTGAGCAAGCCGGCCAGGGCTATTGTCTGCTTCTAAATTCGCAAAGCACACACACACACCGCTCAAGCCCTGTGACATCTTCGCCTCCTATATATTTAAACAGCCGCAGGCCCATTTCATAGGCCAGACCGTGATTCATCTCAGGAGTGTGTAGTCTGATGGCCGTAGCGGCCTCTGATGTATCAGCTCTGCAGAGAACATGACCGCTGTCCCTCGCTAGAGCTGCAGAGGGTTTCGGGAGAACAAACTGCTGGGCAGTCTGCCAAGGCCCAGTTCAGACCAAAGGCAGGAGCAAAGCTGATGTCCCGGGCTGGAAGCCACCAGCAGCCAGAACCCTCTCTGCCGGGGGAGGATCCGCCTACGGTTCCGGTCAGGCCTTCGTGGGTGAAGCCCACGCACACTGAGTAAGGCAGTCTGACTTGCTCAGTCTCTCACTCATCCAGAGACGCCTCACCCTCGTCCAGAGGAATGTCCGACCAGGTATCGGGCACCCATGTCCCAGTCTAGCCCACACACAGATCGACCATCACATGCTTGCAGGAACGTGTTACAATAGTGGGGGGCAGAGGAGGAGCAACAGCCTGTGTATTCCACCAGAAGTCCACTCTTCATCCACTAGAGATAATGTTTTAAGAAAACTGACCTCCAAGTGTTGTCTACAAAATACCTATTTCCTTTTAATTTTATTTTAATGTATACTGAATTTTTTAGGGGGAGGTGACATTGGTTAATAAAATTATATAGGTTTCAGGAGACATCTCTTTTCTTATCTGCTTTTTGATAGAACATGATTCTTCAGTTCTCGGCAATTAAACTTTAAAATTACCTCTTTTGTTAAATAATGCACACAGCATTTAAAGCTCGTTCTCACTTTTGCAACACTGTGCTGAGCCCGGGTTCATGCATCTTCATGGGCTGTGCCCGGTGCTGCACACACACACTGTGCTGAGCCCGGGTTCATGCATCTTCATGGGCTGTGCCCGGTGCTGCACACACCCTGCGCTGAGCCCGGGTCCGTGCAGCTTCATGGGCCGTGCCCGGTGCTGCACACACACTGTGCTGAGCCCGGGTCTGTGCAACTTCACGGGCTGTGCCCGGTGCTGCACACACACCCTGTGCTGAGCCCGGGTCCGTGCAGCTTCACGGGCTGTGCCCGGTGCTGCACACACAAGAAGCTGTGGCAGGCTGGCACAGATCTGCTGCTGAAAGGAGGCAAGGGAGGAGGGAAGAAGGGAAGGAAGAAAGAAGCCACAGATGAAGGATGGCCCCTCATCCGAGGCTGGTCCTCTAAGGCAGTGCATTGGACACGTCCTGGGCCCCTGCTCTGGGGCCTCACAGAAACTCATTTACGTTCATTAGCTCTCATCAGCAGGTCCTGCCAACATGCAGCACTTTTCATGACTCTCATTTTCTCAGTGAAATCTCATTAGCTGAAGGGACCAGGCAGACACTCTGTACATCTCAATCCCAGGTGAAGACGCCACTCGTGTCCCTGCAGGAGCGAGGGCAGGCCCCAGCCGCCTGGACATAGGGCACCCTGGCACGCGCTCGGGCGCTGCCAAGCAAAGCAGCGACACGGAGAGAACGAGCGGGAAGAGGAGGAAAGGTGCGTGGGAACATCCGAGCAGTGATGCCGGCAGCGTGGTCAGAAGGCTCGGCGGGCTCGAGCGCAGAGCTGGCCGGTGAGCCACCCTGGAGGAGCCCAGGGTGACAGGCGTCAGCGGTGATGTAAGCTCTCCAGTTGAGAAGCAAACACATGAGTTTGAGTCCCGGACCTCAGACAGCGGTGATGCCAGCAGCGTGGTCAGAAGGCTCGGCGGGCTCGAGCACAGAGCTGGCCGGTGAGCCGCCCTGGAGGAGCCCAGGGTGACAGGCGTCAGCGGTGATATAAGCTCTCCAGTTGGGAAGCAAACACATGCATTTGAGTCCCGGACCTCAGACACGCGGTTGAAATGCCTGACGAGTACCTCAGGCAGTTTCGAGGGCAGTACTTTCTGTGGCTGCAGATGCCTCGGAGGGAAAGCAGGCATCACTGTCACAACGAGATGGCTCCAAACTGCTCTCCCCCCCACGCACCTGCTGCCACCGGATGTCCCCTCAGGGGCAGCAGGAGGGTGACAGTCATTTGCATGGAAAACAATACAGTAATTAACAAATAGCAGTCCAAGAAGACACTGTGTCCTGTGTGCGCACAACTGTGAACCTGCTCTTTCCCCACCCTGCATGTGAAAGTTCGTAACATGTATAAAGATTACTTATGTAATTACATGAAAATTACATGCACTGTATGAATATGGCCCTCTCCTAGCTTCTCAGAGTGATTTTCAAAAGATATACTTCTTAGGTATTATATTCTGACATTTCTAACTCAGTATCATTCTTAAGAAGTATGAGATACAACATATAATTTTCATGTTTACTTAATTGGCTCTTATTAGGATAAACTTATTAGGATAAACTTCTAGAACAGAAATCATTACGTTAAATGGTGTAAGGTAAAGAAAACCTTGATATAACCAAATGAAAAGTAATTATACAGACCTTTAAAATAATATGTTAGAGAAATAATATGAAAAATGCCTATGATGGTATAAACAAGCAAAACAATGGCCAACAAGGCTGTAACCAGTAACAGACAAAATGTTAAAAAATGTGTTTCCTCCAGACTTTTCAGGATTTTTATCATCCTCATTCATGGGACAGTAATATCATTTATAAAATAATTACTTGAAATAAAATAAAAATATCAGTAATATCTCTTTAGCTCTTATGATGCGTCAGAAACTGTGTTAAGGCTCTGCATACCGTATCGTTTAATCAGATGTGACCACCGTGAGCTGGGAATTATCATCCCTATTTAGTAGATGAAGGAAGTGAGGCCCAGAGAAACTGTCCAAGGACTCACAGTTAGTAAGCACACGAGACTGGTAGCCATCCTGTATGATACAGAGAAACTATACTACATCACCTTCTTAAAAATAAAAATTTATTACATATGTATGTGTTATTCTTTCATCTTCAGGAAAACAAATCATGCAAAATTTTATGACCTTGTATTTTTGGAGAACAAAGCACCAGCCCCCTTTTCTTCATTCCTCTGAACAGTGAGAGACTAACAAGTATATACGTGTTTAGCTCAGACCTGCATAAATATGCACACGATTCAGTAAATAGATACTGACTTTCATCCTAAATTAAGGACTTTTGGAGCTTGGAAAATAAGCTCTTAGGACTAAAAAGCATTCCTTTCATATCTGTCTTTTCTCCAAAGACTGTTAAAGTAGATCAATCCACTTTAATTGGCATATTCTCAGATTCAAAGCTGGGGTGTCACAAAAACGATCAATGGGAAACTAAGTGGCCTCAAGGGTCTTCGACACCCCGATCGGCTCCGTCGCAATAATAAGCCATCAGTGGAAATACTGCTTCAAGTCGCTCACATTTTACTCACAGGACAATGGCAAAGCACCTGGAACTGTCCGAGGACCTGGGAGGGGGGGGCTCCCACCGCCTGTCCCCGTCCCGTCCCCATCCCCGTCCCCGTCCCCGTCCTCGGGTTAAGAACAGGGCAGTTCCTTGTTCCACGGATCATTAAATAAGAGGGCGGTATAACAGCATTAAAGGATAGGTTTTTCTTCAAAGACTCCTAGACCTTTAAAAACTGTTAATAGGTTCAAAATAAGAAAGAAAGAAAAAAGGGAGTCGGGAAGTCCCAGGTAGTTATCTATATTTATGAATAAATATGATTTTTTTCCCTCAGAATAAAATGCCAGGAATATAGATGGGCTGGGTGAGTTGGATCAGAGCTGGGGCATGAATTGAGATCGGCAGTAAATTTGTTAAAATGATACCTGAGTATAATACTCTTGTACATATTTACTCTGGACCATAAACCCTGCTTTCTTACATCTCTTTTACATTTCAGTCATGACTATAAGACGACTTCATTTGGTAGAGGAAATAGTTCATTACCTCTCATGCCTGTTATTGGAACTTTTAATAAGTTCAGTGGGTTAATTGGAATGATACTATTATTAAGCTCATTTTTTTAAACTTCCAACTTAACTTTTTCTCAGTTCTGGGTATTTTTGATCAAGGCATTTAATTTTCACTGGCTCTGGGTATAAACACTAATTGATAAGAGACTCAGTTTCCATAAAGACTGAAGACATCTGTGTAGCTGAGGCTTATGAAGGCTAGGATTGCGGAGCATTTTTGATGCCTTGACTGTTTTATTCCATTTTATTATAACAATCACAAGAACTTCTGTTCAGTACTCAGATTCATCCCCATGCGTGAGATAAAGTTGGCTCTTCGACCCACACAAACTCTTTCTATGCCAAGCTAATAAACTGAAGTTGGTTTTTTTTAATCCTTTAAGTAGAAATGGTCTCAAATTGGTTAAACTACTTGAGAGCATTAGAATGAAGTGAACCAAAGAAAACTGAGCCTTATGCAAAATTTCCTTAAATCACCGAAGATTAGTGAACCTTTAAAACCTGAACAGCTCTGACACAGAATGAAAAAGGGATGCAGGGATAAGTCCGTGTGGCGGGAGCGCTACAGATGAACTCCCTGAAATGGGGGAGGCCGGGAACCGCCCCGGCTGCAGCGCACTCCCTGTGCACAGTGGGTCTCCACCATTCCGTCCCTCTGATGCCGTCAGTCTGGCTTCCGGCCACACTCCCACTACGATGGCCCCCAGGCCCTCAGCAACCCAGACCACAGGAGCCAGCAGCAGGAGTGCTACGAGATTTACAGATCAAACCCGGAAGAGCAATCGCACAGACCAGTGACCCGCACTGCAGATGGCTGGAGACCGTGCCAGACGGCACTCTGGGGACCCTGCCAGGCGTGCAGACCAGCACCCGAAAGCCCGCATTCTGCGCTCTTCCTCCAGACAACTAGGCGGTCAGTCTTCCTGAGCCGCGGTCTCAGAGTCAAGCTTCTCCCCATGTTCACGTCCACTGCCGGTGTTAGCGCCGAGCTGGATTCGGCCTTCCCTGAACCCCCCTTCACTCCATCGGTGTCACCCACACCCTGGCAAGGTGCACCTGCCTGCTGAGTCCCCCCACCTGACACAGGTGCCAACAGGCCAGGGAAACATTTCCATCGCGCGTTAACGTAGGGATTTTGTATTGTATTTAAAAGTCTCCCAAATCGCTTCTGATCTATTGGAGTAATACGCGTCTTGTGGAAGGCCATCAAAAGAAATCAGGGAAATGGTGTCACAGAATTTCGTGATCCGGTCGGCTCGCCCCTTCCTTCATTAAAGCAAGCACATGTATGTGCATGTGTGTACGTGTGCGCGCATGTGTGTACGTGTGTGTGCGTGCATGCGAGTGTGCACGTGCACATTTTCAGAATAAAAGGAGTGTTTACACGTGGGAGCACATCCTCTGCAAGTGCTGCTCCTGCTGTTCCTAGTCAAGGAGCGGGAACCGGCTGCGGGCCGCGCGGTCCCTCGCCTCTCAGGGGTGCACGGTCCACAGCTCTTCCGTCTTAGCAGCCTCATCACCGGTGCTTGAGGATTTGCTCAGCCTGACATTCAGGCTTGCTGATCCTGCAAACACTTATTTTGTTGACACAACATAGTCTGAATCCGTAGGAATGAGGGTAAAAAATTTTAAATATTCCCCATCCAACACGTCACCAAGTCCTGGGAACAACTCTGCTAGTCACGCAGTTCTGGTGCAGAGACGCAGCACCGGGAGACTTCATCACGGGGCCTTTCGGGGGACCCACTCCCCTTGATAACAGTCCATCTCGCCTACCCCGCCCCCCACGCACACTGCGCCTTCTCAAACACGTCTGACACCTTCCACGTACCCTGTGGAGAGGACGATGTTCACCCGGAACACAGCTCGTTGGACACACCTGACTCCTACTTCCTCACCGACACGCAGCCCTTTACCAGAAGCAATGTTTAAAATTAAAGTACAGTCACCCAGCCGGAGTGGCTCCGTGGGTAGGGCATTGTCCCATTCACTGTAAGGTTGTCGGTTCGATTCCCAGTCAGGACACATACCGGGGTTGTGGGTTCAATCCCTGCTTGGGGCACCTACAGGAGGCAACCAATCAACGTTTCTCTCTCACATTGATGTTTCTCTCTCTCTCTCCCCCTTCCTCTCTCTAAGCATGTCCTTGGGTGAGGATTAAAAAAATAATAATAAATAAACAAAGCGGAAGTACAGCTGACATACACACAAGAAAAGCTTGACTAACTTGAAGAGGGAGAAGCCTTGCCCTCGGAAGGAGCAATAAACACCTCATTCGGAATAAAATTTCTTCTGCAATTAAGCTTTAAATGCCTCCGTCTAAGCTGAGAGAGAAAGGAGCCCTTACCTGATTGGAAAACCGCATGCTCACGTTGCGCTGACTCCGCAGCGGGACGTAGCGCTGGATGGGGTCGATGTCCTGAGGACTGATTAGCTCCTCGGCTGGAAAAGAAGGGAGGAAAGAGCATGACCCAGAGGTGGAGCATCCGTACAGCACGATACACCAGCAAAAGGCTGACAGGCACGCACAGAACACTGTCGACCAGGGTAAATCTTTGTGGTTTTGAATTAGACAAAGCTACAGCATCAAAACATTAAGTGACAAAAGAAAAAACGAGATAAATTGGATTTTGTCAAAATTACAACCTTTGAGCCCTGGCTGGTTTGGCTCAGCTCTCAGAGCGTCGGCTCGAGGACCAAAGAGTCATGGGTTTGATTCCATTCAAGGGCGCGTACCTCGGTTGCAGTTTGGTCCCCGGTCCCAGTTGGGGTCATGCAGGAGGCAACCAGTCAATGTGTCTCTCTCACATCGATGTTTCTCTCTCTCTCTCCCCCTCCCTCCGTCCCTCCCACTCTATCTGAGGATAAATGGAAATATATCCTTGGGTGAAGATTTTTAAAAAGTATAATCTTTGACCCTTGAAGGGCACCATCAAGAAAGTGAAATGACAGCCCACAGAACAGGAAAAAATATTTGCAAGTCGTGTATCTTGTAAGGGACTTGCATCTTGAATATGTAAAGAACTCTTACAAGTCAATAATAAAAAGGCAAACTGCCTAATTTAAAAATGGCCACTGTATCTGAATAGCTTATTTCTCCAAAGAAGATACAGAAATTACCAACAAGCAAATGAAAAGATGCTCAACAATATTAGCCATTTAGGAAATGCTCATCAAAACCACAGTGAGGTGCCACCGCACACCCAGAGGGATGACCGACAGACAAGAGCAGGTGCTGGAAAGGACAGCGGTCTCACCCTGGGGGGGGTCAAACGACCCTTTCACAGGGGTCGCCTAAGACATAACAGTAGCAAAATTACAGTTATGAAGTAGCAGCAAAAATAATTTTATGGTTGGGGGTCCCCACAACAGGAGGACCTGTACTAAAGGGTCGCGGCACCAGGAGGGTGGGGAACCACTGAATTGTAGAGAAATCACAAGCCTCACATCGCTGGCGAGAATGTGAGCACTTTGGAAAGTAGCCTGGAATTGCTCAAGATGCTAAACACAGGGTTACCATGAGACCCAGCAATTTCTCCCAAGTGAAGACCTATGTCAAACCGTTAGCTGTACGTGAAAGTTCATAGCAGCCGGATTCATAACGGCAAAAAGCAGGAAGAGCCCAGATGAATGGTAAATCAAACTCCGCCTACACACACAGTACAAAGCCACTCTGCTGTAAAAAGGGGTGCAGTGCGGATGGATGGGGGAGAAAAGGCCACACACGGCATGATTTGAGGGAGGTGAAATCACAGAGGCAAATCTATAGAAACAGAACATAGACCAATGATTGTCCAGAGCTGGGGGGTAACAGCGAAGTGAGGAGGGGGAGGTGGGTAGTGATAAATAAAGGGGATGGTTTTGGGGGTGATAAGAATATTCTAGAACTGATGGTAGAGATGGTTGCACAGCTCTCTCTGAATACACTGAAAACCACTGACCTGTACATTTTAGGTAAAATGTATGGTATGTACCTTATACCTCAATAGAGCTGTTCTAAAAATGACGTCCTTGCATTTGAAAGGAAAGAAATGCGTTCATAAAGGGAGACAAAGTGGCCCTGGCCAGTTTTGCTCAGTGGTTAGAGTGTCAGCCCACGGACCAGAGAGTCTTGGGTTCGATTCTGATCAAGGGCATGTGCCTCGGTTGCAGTTCATCCCCGGCCCTGGTCAGGGTCGTGCGGGAGGCAACCAGTCAATGTGTCTCTCTCACATCGATGCTCCCCACCCCTATCTGTAGATATTTGGAAAAATATCCTCGGGTGAGGATTTTAAAAAAAATTATAAAAATGGGGCGGAGACACAAAGTGTTTCCTGACACTAAATTCTGATGTCAGGTGGGCGGTGTTTTGGGGCACTGCCCAGCACCAAGGCGCTCACTTCAATTGCGTCCTGGAAACGTGGGAGCCCTCTTCATGAGCAGTTCCTTCTGGAATCTTTGCTGACCTCCAAAGATATCCCAAGGAAGGCAATTTAGTGTGTCGGGGGGCAGGGGGCGGGGGGCGGTCAAGATGCTGGGTCCGTGGTTCTCTGCTGCCTTCTGCTCTCACACCTGAGACCCATAAGCACCGAGGCTCACAGGAGCGCGGACTGTCCCTGGTCCGAGGGGACTAACCTGGGAGTGAGGGTGCGACCCTGCATGTCCTCGCTGGAGGACAGGTTGTTGGAATCTGTGCAAATGTACGGAGAACACACTTTCGGACTCGGCGGCCGTGTACCCACCAAGTGATCTTCGTGTTATACTCAGAAACGCGAAAGGAACTGAATGACATCAAATAACAAACAGAAAAACACTCACTCCTTTTTACCTCACCCGAGGGCATGTCTGCATTTACCTCCAGACAGAGCAGGAGGGAGAGAGGGAGAGAGAGAGAGAAACATCGATGTGAGAGAGACACATCGCCTGGCTGCCACCCGCACAACCCCAACCGGGGCCGGGAACAAACCGCAACCGAGGTACGTGCCCTTAGCGACAACCAAACCCGGGACTCTCTGGTCCACGGGCCGACACTCTTACCACTGAGCCAAACTGGCCAGGGCCAGGCTTCTTTTCTTTTTAAATGTTTTTACTGACATTTTAGAGAGAGGAAGGGGGAGAGAGATAGAATCGTCAATGTGAGAGAGAAACATCGATCAGCTGCCTCCTGCATGCCACCCACTGGGGATTGAGCCCACAACCCGGGCATGTGCCCTGACCCGGAATCGAACCAGCGACCTCTCAATCCATGGGACAACACCCAATCCACTGACCCACACCGACCGGGCTGCTTTTGCAAAATTTAAACCGAATCAACATAGGATTAATTTATGGCCAATATCAACTATAACTTCAATGTATTCATATCAGTTTAGCTCCTGGTGCAGGGTTGATTAGTACAGTGATATTCTAAACAGCAGCAAATTATTTCCCTATCTCATTTGTCTGATCACTGGGATGTGGGAAAATTTCCACGACCAACAAGTATTTTACATAATTAATGTTTCACTGTCATGACACAGATATGAAATTCTGTCTTTATTATTTTGTTAACTGTAAATGGTGACAGATAAATTAAGAAATCTTATCTCCTTGGAAAGCATAAATGCTACTCCATTAAAATCTGTATGAATAAAACAGTCAACCAAGTCTCGTGAGAAGCGTATTCTTCGCACGCTGCCCTCACCTCTGTCAGCCCTGCACCTGCGTGTCTGGCTCGAGGGCTCGTGGGCACCCCTGCCCCCCGCCGGACGCTTCTGCCTCAGGGCTGCTGTGCACCTGGCACGCAGCAGGCACCTGAGGGGCCGGCACATCTGGAAACATTAACTGCTGTAGCCATTGCTCTCATTTCCATAATGGTGGAAGGGACCAATACCTCCGAGGTCAGCTAATCAAGTTTTCCGCACTGCACTGATTTTGTCATTTGGAAGCAGGGCCGAGCTCCTCCTGTGCCAACTGTGTGGCGCTGGCTTTCTGGTGAAGAGGGACAAGCCTGCGAGAACTTACACCTGCTCGCACACAGAAGCTAAAAGTGACGAGAACAAGGATAAAGGGGACGGCTTCCTGCACTGCCCAGCAGGACACACCTCACACCCATCATCCCTATAAACACAGCAGCCGGCTCCCATCCTCGGGGCAGATTCGGTCACTGACACTGGTGCTTGTTAAGCACAGAAAGGTTTATGAAATATACCCTGAGTTTGCCTCAAACAATAATTGTTGCGGCTAAAAGGAGTACATTAAGAATTTTTGTTTCGTCAATGAAATGACCATTTAAAAACATTTAACAGCCCTGGCCGGTTTGGCTCAGCGATTAGAGCGTCGGCCTGCGGTCCAGGGAGACCCAGGTTCAGTTCCCACTAAGGGTACATACCTCAGTTTTGGTTTGTCCCAGGCCCTGGTTGGGTCGTGAGGGTGGCAGCCACTCAATGTGTCCCTTTCACGTGGATGTTTCTCTCTCTCCCTCCCACTCTATCTGAACAAAAAATGGAAAAATGTCCTCGGGTGAGGATAGAAAACAAAAAAAAACATTTAACAGAACGAGTCATCTTTGTTTTATCACAGGGCACTGCAGTATTTCAGCAGGTATTTCACAGGGTAAGACTGGGTGCGGCAGAGCCAAACTGGGACTCAGCGGCGTGACACGTGAGTCACATGCGTGTTGTGGAGTGAGCTGCGGAGACCACAGGGTGCGGCTACAGCACAGAGGCACCAGCAGGACCACTGCACAACCACAGTGCCGCCAGGTGGGGACAGGCTTATCGGGGGTCACTTCGTAACTTACACACACATCCAACCACTGTGCTACACATCTGAAACTAACATAAAATAATATTAATATTGAATGTCAAGTGTAACTGAAAAATTTTTTAAATGAAAAAGATATGAGCTGTGGAGAAAAACATAATGTAGATCTTCAATCTCATACACTATAACCCCCAAATTTTAATTTATATATATACACACATATAGATATATATATACATATGTGTGTGTATATATATTTAACTCAACTGATTAACAGGGATGAACTTTCTAAGATTAAATATTAAATTTGATGTAAAAATTAAATAGAGAGGAAATGATAGACCTGAATATATCAAGATTTTAAATTGTATTCATCAAAAAACCAGCATTAGCAAAGTTTAAAAGTAAACAAACTAGGAAAATGCCAGAGAGGTTTAGCACACTTAACATATAAAACACATATGCAGACTGAGAAGGAAAACCTCAGAACCATGGTTAAATGGGCAAAGCAAATTAACTAGACACTACAGAGGACAGAGAAATGGCCAAGAATGTGTTTTTTAAATAATCAGCATGTAAATGAAAACGAAAACAAAGTAATATCGTATCCAGTTAGCACGTGTCTACGTGTGAGCCTATTTAATGCCACAGAGGTTCTAGGTGATACAGTCACCGGGCAGATTCCCGAATAATCACTGAAGTCCCCGTCAGTCATGGGCTCATGACCTCGGGGGGCCGCTGGTCCCCCAGCCTCAGTGATGGTGCAGTGTTCATCTCAGGAGGGGGAGGGGCTGTGCTGGGGAGGGCCGCGCTCATCTCAGGAGGGAGGGGCTGCGCCGGGGAGGGCGGTGCCCATCTCAGGAGGGGGAGGGGGTGCGCCGGGGAGGGCGGTGCCCATCTCAGGAGGGAGGGGCTGCGCCGGGGAGGGCGGTGCCCATCTCAGGAGGGGGAGGGGGTGCGCCGGGGAGGGCGGTGCCCATCTCAGGAGGGAGGGGCTGCGCCGGGGAGGGCGGTGCCCATCTCAGGAGGGAGGGGCTGCGCCGGGGAGGGCGGTGCCCATCTCAGGAGGGAGGGGCTGCGCCGGGGAGGGCGGTGCTCATCTCAGGAGGGGGAGGGGCTGTGCCGGGGAGGGCGGTGCCCATCTCAGGAGGGAGGGGCTGCGCCGGGGAGGGCGGTGCCCATCTCAGGAGAGGGAGGGGCTGCGCCGGGGAGGGCGGTGCCCATCTCAGGAGAGGGAGGGGGTGCGCCGGGGAGGGCCGCGCTCATCTCAGGAGAGGGAGGGGCTGCGCCGGGGAGGGCCGCGCTCATCTCAGGAGAGGGAGGGGCTGCGCCGGGGAGGGCGGTGCCCATCTCAGGAGGGAGGGGCTGCGCCGGGGAGGGCGGTGCCCATCTCAGGAGGGAGGGGCTGTGCCGGGGAGGGCCGCGCTCATCTCAGGAGGGAGGGGCTGCGCCGGGGAGGGCCGCGCTCATCTCAGGAGGGAGGGGCTGCGCCGGGGAGGGCGGTGCCCATCTCAGGAGGGAGGGGCTGCGCCGGGGAGGGCGGTGCCATCTCAGGAGGGAGGGGCTGTGCCGGGGAGGGCGGTGCCCATCTCAGGAGGGAGGGGCTGCGCCGGGGAGGGCGGTGCCCATCTCAGGAGGGAGGGGCTGCGCCGGGGAGGGCGGTGCCCATCTCAGGAGGGAGGGGCTGCGCCGGGGAGGGCGGTGCCCATCTCAGGAGGGAGGGGCTGCGCCGGGGAGGGCGGTGCTCATCTCAGGATGGGGAGGGGCTGCACTGGGGAGGGCGGTGCTCATCTCAGGATGGGGAGGGGCTGCACTGGGGAGGGCGGTGCTCATCTCAGGATGGGGAGGGGCTGCGCCGGGGAGGGCGGTGCTCATCTCAGGAGGGAGGGGCTGCGCCGGGGAGGGCGGTGCCCATCTCAGGAGGGAGGGGCTGTGCCGGGGAGGGCGGTGCCCATCTCAGGAGGGAGGGGCTGCGCCGGGGAGGGCGGTGCCCATCTCAGGAGGGAGGGGCTGCGCCGGGGAGGGCGGTGCCCATCTCAGGAGGGAGGGGCTGTGCCGGGGAGGGCGGTGCTCATCTCAGGAGGGAGGGGCTGCGCCGGGGAGGGCGGTGCCCATCTCAGGAGGGAGGGGCTGTGCCGGGGAGGGCGGTGCCCATCTCAGGAGGGAGGGGCTGTGCCGGGGAGGGCGGTGCCCATCTCAGGAGGGAGGGGCTGCGCCGGGTAGGGCGGTGCTCATCTCAGGAGGGGGAGGGGCTGCGCCGGGGAGGGCGGTGCCCATCTCAGGAGGGAGGGGCTGCGCCGGGGAGGGCGGTGCCCATCTCAGTAGGGAGGGGCTGTGCTGGGGAGGGCGGTGCTCATGGGGGAGGGGCTGCGCAGGGTGCGCTGGGGAGGGCAGGGGCACAGACTCTGGTGCTCTGCTTCGAGGCAGGTGCTGCTCTTCCCTGAGCCTCCAGGACCCACTGCCTTCGAGTTCAAGTTTACTGATATATTTGAGATGGGATCATACATTTGTATGTAAGTGTTCTAGCCTTCCTAGCAATTCAACCAGAATTTTTAGTTTTAAGAAAGTCAGTCGTTTATACAAGAGGGGGGAGGGAGACAATGCCCCAAGGCGAAGCTTTACAGGGGCACTGTATCACGCGTGCTCTCGAGCCGTGTGCAGTGCCTGCTGCTCGGGTTCCCACCTCAGGCCACCAGCGATCACAGACACTAGGGAAAGGGAAAGGTGCTCAGACATTGACGTCTTCCTCTTGAAGTTTCGGCTGGGAGATGTGTTAGCAACCACAACGCAGACGTACACCTGTACACCCCACCAGTCCTTTACCTGTAACTGGCTGGCAGCAACACCATGTGCTACACTGAGTGAGAAGTCAACTGCGCCCGAAGTCAACAGACCAAGGGGATCAAGACCCCGCTTCTGTGCTCATGCGTGTGCGGGCTTAGTCAGTGGCTTTTATACTTGAGGTCAATTGGGCAAGAAATATGGTGAATGAAATCCAACGCCAATGGACTGTCTTGGCTGCAGACACTGGGATTAGGCAGCTGTGCATCAGGACGACGAGGCTGACCTCAGAGAGACACAGTGCCCTAGGCTGCCACCTTCTTCTTGCCTCAGGGGTGCTGGGTGTCACAATGACCACACAGAGCCGTCACCAAGCAGATGAGCGGGGAAGTAGCACCAGGGAAGCATAAGAAAGTGCTCTTTACACTCAGACTCTGTCTACATGCAGTGCATCGGTTTGGGCATAAGGAAGGGCCGATGCTTTGTACCGACTGATACTGGTTTCAATCTTTTTTTTTTTTTAAAGCTCAATTTGCTTACGTAGAGTATGGTCAATTCTGCATTCCCGAGTCCTTAGACTTCTCGACTGCACCCAGAGGCTGTGCTCCAAGAGCACTCCTGCTAGCCGTGCACATCCGGTGGCAGGCTGGACAGACAGCACGCAGCGAGATGAAAGCTTAGATCGCAAGCCCCTTTCCAGGGACCAGTTTCCAGCCTCAGTCACGGAAGAGTTTCATCATGCTCATCTGTAATTTCCAGGTGTAGTCCATAGGAATTTATGAGTCTGATGTTAAAATTCTTGTCCTTATATAAGTTAACTACTCCTCTACTAAAATATTTTTTATCTAGTATCAACAAGGCTTCTTTGTATAAAAATAACATTCTAACCAGAGATAACCTTACCAACTTGAGCTTGATTCTAAGAAAACTAATCCATGTATGCATTTTTTTCTTTTGCAAAATATAAAAGCAAAATCTGTATGAGCTCCTTTTCAAAAGCTGCCCATGTAATGGAAGAAATTTTTTCTACAGTTTCTTAAATTAGCATTAAGTTTATATGGAGACCCAGAAAATAGTTAGAAAGTGAGAAAATTGCATTAACTTAGTTCTCTCTTCTCTGGCTAGCTTTTATTTGCTCTTATATATTATCAGCGTGCAGCTGGAACTGGGTATCGGGATTCTGAAATATTCTCCCCTGATGGAATGCACGAGAAGAAACCAGAGGTGACCATTCCTGCCGCGCACCCCGACCCGGCGTCCGACGGCCATAGCTGGAACACAGACAGCCGGCCCCGCGGGCAGTCCGCCGCCCCACGCAGCGCGTGCCCATGTCCTAGCCCGCTAGCCGGGGAGGAACCCGACTCTGAGATGACAGCCCTTTGGACGGAAATGCTAGTGACATTTGGAAGTTTAGCCAGGAATGGCGCAGAGAGATGCTGAGTGCTTTTTGTGCTCATTAAATTAGCCTTCATTTCCACATGTCCAGAGCAGTCCCTTTCAGCTGAAGTTTTTGGAGTAGCTGGAAAATAATTATTCATGGAGAATGGTCCCATTAAGCATCTAGCTAACTGAGTAAATTGCCAACATGCATTTATTAGAAGAGAACTTTCAGATAACCAATTCCTTTTGGCAAGTGGTTTACTAAAGCTGTGGCCAAATATGACCCTCACATTAAATGAGAATGTTATTACATTATATAAAGTAAATCACAGCCCCCCAGCCTCTGCTAGAACCCACCACTGCGCTGAAGGCAGCTCCGACGCGTCCCGCGGAGCCCGCACCGCTCTGGCTGCCTTCCCGGAAATGCCCTCACCAAGCAGGGGAAGAGACGTATGTATGTATCTTCACATCCAAAGACACTGTCCCTAGACCTCTCACAGCAGGAATGCCAACATCCAAGAAAATGTCAGTGAAGACATACTCACTCCTAGGGCTCGATAATAGGGGGGGGAATGTTCCCAACTTTCTCCACTTACCCAGGAGTTTTGCGATGATATAAAGGGCTTGTCCCCAAAGAAACAGCTTTCCATCGCGGCCACAGTTGCTAGGAAACCGCTTCTGACTACCAGGGTTTCTTTTCTCAAGTTCTACGAAATCGGCTGGCACGTAATAGTACTTTGGGACGACCGGATAACCTATGGAGTTTAAAAGTAAATATTTAAAATTCAACAAATCAGTGTCCTTCCCCAAGCTCCCCGTCAAGAAACGGCAATGTTGCAGAGCAGAGAGAGACAAGGTTGTGCAGAGATAACGGATTTGATGGGCACAGAAAGCCGCACACTGGGGCTCCTTTCAGAAACTGCCAGTGACGAGCGTGGAGGACACTTCTGGACCCTGAAACCCTGGTTTGACAGTGTGTCAGCTGTCGCCGAACTGCCACAGAGCCCCCCCAGCAACATCCCTTTCAGCACCTCCAGTGAATCAGCAAACACTGCATGCAAATATTTAGAGACACAGAAGAAACTATATTTAAGAGGATTAGTCTGGGGAAGCTTTACAAATGAGATACTGGGTAATCTTAAATGAAGAATTATAACCCTAAACCATTGCTTAGAGCAAAGAAATCCTCATTTTATACATTAAGCTCAGTATCTACCATGCACTGCCTTTGAAGAGAAAAAAATCCACCTTCCCCTGTGACCAACAAATTTAAAAATATTCCTTGGTAGAAATCAGAAGTTATTATTAAAGACTAGAATCTTTGCGGATGATATAAAGGGGAAGACAACAACATGCTGAGTTTTTTTGCGCTGCCAGCCCACGGGAAACTTAATTCTCCTAATAATATCGCACGAGATTCCCTAAAACGCCTCCGTGCATCAATCAACAGTGATGTTTGTGTCGAAAACCAACACAAAGGTCTCTTATACACAGAACGGTGTGGACCCCACTCTGATTGTGAAGCCTGGAGTGTGGTCCTTCCAACCACCGCCCGATGCATGACGGCCTGGGCTCTGGCTGACCCGACTCAAGGGCTCAAATTCACATCACTGTGCTATTTCTCACACTGGACGATGGTTCTTTGGGGCATAAAGACCAAGTGACTGGTTGTAGAATTCACACACACTTGGAACCCAGTGCCTGCCCACAGACATTTCTCTGTTTGACACGGGCAGTATGTCACAGGGCGGCACCAGTGTGGGGTGCCGGCTCTAAGGTTCTCGTGGGGAACCCTACGGGACACCACCGCTGCACCTGAGACAGGAAGGGGCTCAGGGCTGTGACTGCCACTCTCTGTATCCACGAGACCGTTCATTCCTTACCAACACCTAACACTTTTTAACTTCAGACAAACACGTTTTCAAAGCTGTTCACTCGGGGGAATATATTCTTTTTCTGCAAACAGTTCCGAACACCAAAGGCACCGGGAACTTCTCTGAAATTCCTCTGAGAAATAGTTTTGTAGTCACACAGAAAAATCAGTTGTTTTCTACGGGTCCTTCTGGTTTAACTGAGACCATCATACTGCTCCTAAGATGGGGCCTTCCGCCCACCCTCAGAGGTGGATTTCGGGACCATGGCAGACACTCAGAAGGACATGCTAAGGGCCTTGGAGCCGATGCACAGAGGCCAGCGTGCTCCCGCAGACGCCGCACCTCCAGGCCGGGGCAGAGCCCGCTGGCGGCCTCTGGTGGGCAGCACCCACCCGAACGCAGCATGTCCGGGGACCTGGGTCACACGGGAGCAGAGGAGCTGGGGGGGGGGGGGGTGCAGAGGGAGAACTGCTGCCCGCCTGGCAGCCCACTCTGCCTTCACTGTAGCCCGACCACCGTCACGTCACCACCCTTATTGCCAAACGCTCTCCTTTCATAAAAACATGACTGCGACACATTAACAGATTACTCTTTCTCACTCGCTCAAGGCCCCACCCACGTTTTCGATGTCAGATAAATGGCCCTGTGACGAGGAGCCGTCTGCACGGCACAGGAACACTGCGGAGTGGCTCGGAAGAATTCCCGAGCAGACGGCCCAGCCCTACCTTCTGAGGTCTGGTGAAGAACCGGGGTCAGGAGGTCCTGGTACTCCTGCACTTGCTTAGGGTTGCCTCTGAAAACCCCTGCAACGCAGAACACAGATTCCGGTCGCGTCTGAGCTCAGCGCCCTGGAATCCCACCTTAGAAACGTCGATCAGCCCAATTATAACTATTCTGGTAATTCTCTACATAAATGACAAAAATACAATTGAAAAAAGGTAAAACCAAAAAAAAAAAAGAAAAGTGTATGATATTTTCCCAGAAAACTGATTTTAGAAGGTCATCTCAGCATTTAGAATTGAAAACTGAATTTTGATTGAAATTTCTCTATTCTTCAGTGTAAATGTTACAGGTAGTCACCGTGTTCCAGGTTATAGCAGTCATGGTATCTACTCCTAAAAAACATATTCTTTGTAAATATGAAAAGACAGTTGTATCATTTTTAAGATAACTCATAGTATTTTTTTTTCATTCTTTAAATTATTTGACATTCCGTCCGAAGGCAGAAAATTGTACAAACATGCAGAGCAGCGCATAGCACCGCGGTGCTGAAGGAAGTCAGACCTCATTTCTATTAGTCTTTAAACACATATCCTGCAGCTTAAACTTCAGGAGAAATGCTCACTTACCATCAATCATCATGTACAAGAAAAATATGGGGAATTCACATTCAATGCCATCAAATAGCTGAAACAGAAAATAAAATATTACAAAATTCATGACAATCAGCATGGTTACATCAGTTAGAAGAACATGTTAATGAGATATTAGTGAGGATGTACAGAAAGATGTATTACAGTAATAACACATGGGCTGATTTCATAAGTAGTTTCGTTGTTCTTTAAATTCTCTGAACTTGTCAGGCCAGTGCGGCTCAGTGGGTGAGCGTCGACCCTACACCAGGAGGTTGTCAGTTCGATTCCCGGTCAGGGCACGTGCCCAGGGTGTGGGCCTGATCCCCAGTGGGGGGCGTGCGGGAGGCGGCCGATTGATGTTCTCGCTCATCGATGTTTCTCTCTCTCTCTCCTTCTCCCTTCCTTTCTCTGTAATATCAATAAAGAAAAAAAACTGTACTTCTCTGAACTCATTCTTCCAGAGCTCAGCTGTCTCCTCTCTCGCCCAGCACCGTCCATCCAGTAAACACTAAGCCCGCAGCAGTGCCTGCCATCACCTGGACAGGGTGCTGAGAGACAAGACGGACGCCTGCCCTCACGGGCTCTCAGGCTACTGGGGCGGCGGGCACGGAAGTAACCACCGGGCGCAGCTTCTGCGACATCTACCGTGGTATCAGGAGCCCCGGGAAGAAGACGCCCGAGGCCGTCAGAGGGCCAGAGAGGGGCCGAGAGAGGAGAGCCTTCAGCACTGCCGGAGGCTTCTCCAGGGAGGTGAGGCCAGGGAGCCGCCCCACAGCGCACAGGGCAGGTGCGTGGGAGCACAGAGCTCGTTCAGAAGCCAGCAGCCACTCGGTGTCTCTGACAAGCAGGGAGGAAATGGTGAGCACTGCGCCCAGCAGCTGGCTGCGCCCGCCGGGTTGGGGAGGGCCCGGGAAGTCACGCGGGGAGACGCAGACTTTGATCCGGAACCACGGGGAATACTGAGCAGGGCCCGATTCGTTTCTCAGATCCACCCGCGGGACGGACCCGGAGGCACGGGAGACAGTCTCAGGGCTGGAAGTAAGAGCAGCAGCTGGAAGGTGCTGGGAGCAACCCGAAGCGACAGGACGGCAGCGGACACTGAGCTCTCAGGCTCGGCGCTACTGACATCCTGGGCCACGTGACCTTTGTGGAAGGGTCTGTGCTGGGAGGGTTCGGAGACTCGTCGCCGAGACACGTCTACACAGAGATGCCCGAGACCTTCCCTGCCTTTAGCAGGCGAGTCTCGTTACGACCATCCTCACCACTTCCAGTCTACCCCTCGAGCTGATCTTCAGCAGTGGGGTGAATGCTCACCTTTTTGGGGGTGTTAGAGTTTTCTAGAGAGCTGAAAAGCAGCAGGCACAAATCTGGACCGAGCGGTACGCGTGTGCATTTGAAGCAGAGAGTGCTAGAGCTCAGTGCTTAGGGGGCTGCACGGCAAAGGGAAGTGTCTACGTGAAGCAGAAACGAAGAGCATTTGCTCGGGGGGACGTCGGGCCACAGGTGCTTCCATCACACGAGGCAGCGGGTCTGGAGCGGCAGGCGAAGGACGAAAGTGCAGTAGGAAGACCGCCACCCAGCTAACAGCAGGGCCCCAGGAGCAACGGGGTAAAACAGACACGCACCGAGTGCTAAGCACCATCTGAGCACTCGTACGTATGAACTCATCTAGTCCTCACGAGACCTCGATGATAGGCCCATAGCAGCACGCACTGTTATGTACCCGTGAAGAGTAGATGATACAGAAAGGTTGACGGACTTGCCCACAGCTAGTCGGTGGCAGCGAGAATTCAAACCCAAGAAGTCTGCCTCCTCGTCTGCACTTCTGACCACTCTGTTATGCTATCTGATTTAGGATTTTTTTAATCCTCACCCGAGGATATTTCTCCATTAATTTTTAGATACAGTGGGAGGGAGGGGGGGAGAGAAAGAGAGAGAGAGACATGGACGTGAGAGACACATCGATTGGTTGCCTCCCACAAGACCCTGACCGGGGCTGGGGATCAAACCTGCAACTGACGTATATGCCCTTGACCAGGAATAGAGCCCGAGACTCTTGGGTCCAAGGTCAACACTCTGAGCACTGAGCCAAACGAGCCAGGGCTGAGGGGGGATATTTTTTGGTACCTTAATTTCGGCTGGTTTGTAGTAGCGTCTGTTGGGGTCTTCCAGTGATGTTCTATACCCGTCTCTCAAGAAACGCTTGAACCCGTACTTCCCCTTCAGCTTCCGAACCACTTTGTCCAGTGTCTGCAGGAAGAGCGCCTCATCGTCCAGCGCGAAGGCAGGGTAGCTGGTGCAGGGCAGCAGGGCGGCGTCTGTGTTCTGGTGCAAGGGGGGGCCGTGAGCGCCTAGCGACACAACCGCAGACCAGCCCAAGGAGACCGTGGGAAGGCCGCCAGGGGTCCAGCGGCGAGCGCGCAGTGCTCCGAGGGACAGCGGCGGTGTGTGGCCCGGGGCATGGACCGCACAGCGGAGACAGAACTTTATCCATTAATAAGGAGCATCTTCAAGGCTCAACACTGAACTCAGACTTGAAGATCTTAATTAAGGCAGCGCGTAAAACCTAACACCAACAATTAGCCATGACGACTTAGTCTGTCCTAACAATCTGTCATAACAGTGAAGCACGCCAACCACTCTACACGTCCAGCAGTTAGGTGAGGAGCTCAGCAGCACGGAACCCTGCACGGCAGACATGTGTGATGGGAAACACGTCCGTTCACAGAACCAGGTTGCCGAGCACTGTGGAGAACGTTCTTCCAGGGCTGAGAGGTGGAAATACTATACGCACATGAGCTCGGGGAACCTGTGGACACAGTGTGTCACCCCACCATGAAAACCGGTGAAGTAACGAGTAGGGATTATACCATGGCTCCATATTTGTGGGTTTTACTTTTCTTTTATCAAAATCTTGTATTACTCATCTACAGTAGTTATTTTTAAATAGTTAAATTATTCCATTCGGGGTGTTTTCTAAAAACGGAGCCACAAATAACCCCTAGGAAAAGCTGCAAAGTCTGTGGGGCACGTGACAGCCGCGAAAGAGGTGGGCGGGACGCAGGCGCACTGCGAGGAGGCTCACGTGGGATCGCGACTCTCGGGGCAGCAGCGAGCACAGCGTCTGCCGGTTGCGGTTGTGAGCGTCGAGGTCCACGAATATGACCGACCACGAGCAGCCCTGGAACGAGAGGGCCGGAGGGGCCGGGCACTGTGAAGAAATCTCACAAAAGCACTACACCGATTGCGTCTGAGAGTGGTTTAATTTTATCTTTAATACAGTCAGAATTTCTCAAATATCTTGCAATAAACACATTCATTTTATAATCATAAGAAAAGTTATTTTTTTATTTTCCCCGCTTCTCCTTAGTTTTATTATCAACCAAAATGTATTGAGTATAACTAATCAATTAAAGATATTTACTTTAATAAAAATACAAATACTATTTTAGCTAACATTTTTGACAAGGAATGATGCAAAAACTCACTCAGATTTATAAAACCTCATTGTACAGTCCTATAAAGAATACTGATTATATGATCAAACAACAAATGTAAGCACAATCTAGAATTATGGATATAATTCTTGATTAAAATATGAAGACAGGAGAATCTCAAACAATAATGCAAATAACACAAACAAATATTCCCTCTGTGTCGGCTCTGGGCTTGGCTTCACATGGACTATCTCATCTAATCCCTAGAGTAGATATTACTATTCCCATTTCACTGAAAAGGTACCAAATCTTAGTTTAATTCAACAGGGGTTCAAAATCAAGTCTCTTTAAGTTACACGATTTCCCACACGAGATAAAATATTTCAAGAACCAAAAACTTGAACAAAACAAAACAAAACAAAAAACAGCTGTAACAGCCCTGGCCGGTTTGGCTCAGCGGTTAGAGCGTCGACCTGTGGTCCAGAGAGACCCGGGTTCGGTTCCCACTAAGGGCATGTACCTCGGTTGCAGTTTGTCCCCGGCCCTGGTTGGGTCGTGCGGATGGCAGCCATTCGATGTGTCCCTTTCACGTTGATGTTTCTCTCTCTCTCTCTCCCCTTCCCACTCTATCTGAACAAAAAATGGAAAAATATCCTAGGGTGAGGATAAAAAAAGAACAGCTGTAACAAAAAAAGCTAATTGGTTACTAACGAAGTTTAACCACTTAAACAAATTGACTATTTAGCCATCAGTGCTCTCCGTATTCAAGAGCAGAGCTGTAAGTCAACATGGCCTTGTTCTTCGGGGACTACTACTCTGGAAATCAAAGAGAATGAAGCGGGAACACGAAGACCACCTCCGTCACACGGGAACACTCAGAAACCACGGGGCAAGGAGGCCGAGAACTGCCTGGAGAATCGTGCTGGTTCCGTACGACCTTCCAAATCCCATCCCATCTCTCACCCTGACGCTGATGTACGCCCGTCAATCAATCGCCTAGACGGGAAGTCAGTCTAGTGGTTCTAGGTCCTGGGTCCACATATCAAACTCAATCTCTGTGTACTTCTGTTAACCCGTGTCCCTACATGAGTATGGTCGTGAGAGGGAACGATCTCTCATTCATGGTATCATTTCTTAAATCTCTTTTAACTCCGACAAGGCGATGAGCACGCGGTGCGGGAGGCTGTCCCTTCCTACGCCGTCTACTCAGACCCGAGGACCCAACACTTTGCGGGGTGGCCCCTGCAGGGGAGCGTGCCCTCTGTCCTCAAGGAGCCGACCCGGGTGACATGCAGTCCCGGACCAGACAACACTGAACACAACCAAGGCCACCCCTGGGGCCCTGGCCGGTTTGGCTCAGTGGTCAGAGCGTTGGCCTGCTCCAGAGACCCGGGTTCGGTTCCGCTAAAAGCACGTATCCTTGGTTGCAGTTTGTCCCCAGCCCTGGTTGGTCGTGCGGGTGGCAGCCACTCGATGTGTCCCTTTCACGTCGATGTCTCTCTCTCTCTCTCTCTTCCTCTCTCTCCCTCCTGCCCTATCTGAACAAAAAATGGGGGAAAATGTCCTCGCGTGAGGATTTTTTAAAAAAAGGCCACCCCTGGCAGGACTGTGGACCGAGTGCGGGGCTCAGATGGGGGGAGCATGATGATGACAGACCTCTAAGTGACAGAGAGAAATAAAACAGGGAACTTGGGGCACTTCCTGGGAAAGTGAGGACCACAGCTAGGATCTGAATTTGGGGAGAAGGGAGCAAGTAGGGGATCAGAACAAAACGGCGGAGAAATTAGTGTGAAACGTCGGGAGCCTCTGAAGAAACAGAGAACAGGGCTTGTCGTTGTTCTTGGGCTGGTAACGAATAAAGTTCACCGCCTGCCACGTCGGCCTGCCTGCCTGGGGTTGGAATTAGTGTGAAACGTCGGGAGCCTCGGAAGAAACAGAGAGCAGGGCTCATCGTTGTTCTTGGGCTGGTAACGAATAAAGTTCACCGCCTGCCACGTCGGCCTGCCTGCCTGGGGTTGGAATGTTGAAGACACAATCTAAGTAGGATAATTTATAAATAATGAAGCGAAATGGTAAATTTGGCAATTCTTGCTGTTATTTGATTAACATAAACAGCCAACTTCTATTTTCTGGCCAAAAATAAATGGCTTGTTTGTTCCGGGCCCTTCCTCTGCCGGCCTCGAAGAAGTATGTGCAGGAACAATGGCCTCATGCCATCACCATGTCTAACACCGAGACAAAGGCAGTGGGCTGGGCTGCTTGCCGTCCTCTGGAGAACTCGACCTGCTGCAGGACACGGCCAGAGCCACGGGATGAAACCACCACGGCCGTACAGCTATTCGTGTCCAGAGTGTTTTGTAAAGCACCAGCATGGAGCACGTGCACACGGAATGAACCATCACCTACTGCAGGTGATCAGACACATTCCTGTTCGGCCCTCAGATTTCAAGGGAAAGGAGCCGGGTCTGCTCTGCTTTGAACACGCGTAACATGAGCAGTCTCCCCGGCGTCACTTTCAGATCCGGCCTCAGCTCTGGCCGTGTTGAGAATTCTCCAATTAAAGACAAAAATATGAAAGACTGTTTTGTAAGTACATGTCACCCAGAGTATCTGATGGACTTCAGATGCTTTATCTCAGCTTCCATTTCCCGGTCTCACGGCTCTGCCCTGACACCAACTCCACGTGAGAGCATGTCTCTAGGCCGACAGCTCAAGCTCGGCCCCCAGCCCGAGTGTCCGTGGCTGTGCTCCGGGAATACGCAACATTACGTCACATCCCAGGACTCATGGAATTTGTGTTTTAATCCTCACTGGAGAATACTTTTCTATTTATCTTCAGATAAACTGGGAAGGAGGGAGGGAGGGAGAGAGACACATCAACAGGTGGCCTCCCGCACGACCTCAACCAGGGCCAGGACAAACTGAAACTGAGGCACGTGCCTTGACTGGAATCGAACCCGAGACTCATCGGTCCACGGGCCAATGCTCCAACCATTGAGCCAAACTGGCCAGGGCTGGACTTACTGGTTTTATAACTGGGAGTTTGTGCCTTTGACTCTCTTCACTCATTTTGCCGACCTTCCACCTCTGGGAACCACCGATCCGTTTTCTGTATCTGTGACCTTGGTGCTCTAGTTGTTTTGTTTACATTTCACACAACACTGAGAACACACAGTACTGTCTTTTGTCTCCAGCTGACTTATTTCATTTAGCATAATTCTCTCAAGGTATATCCAGGTGGCTGTTGTCAAGATTTTATTCTTTTTATGACTGAATAATATTCTACTGTGCATATGTGTGTGTGTGTGTACGTGTGTGTGTTGTGTGTACATGGGTGCATGCATGTATGTGTGTATGTGCCTGGTGTGTGTATGTATGTGTGTATGCATGTGTGTAGGTATGTGTGTGTCGTATGTGTGTGTGTATCTATATATCTATATACATATCACATTTTCTTTAAGCAATCATCCATCAATGGACACTGGGGTTTTCAACTTTCTTGGCTGTTGTAAATAAGGCTACAATGCATTATTTATGCCATATTACCACACTACCCTCCAACTCCTTCCTTCTACCTAGCCTCCTATTTCTCTGTTACACACACACACACACACACACACTTAAATGATGTACAGTAATGAACAAGCTGGGCTGATGAACGAAATAGACCCAGAGACATGGAAAGGAGTATGGTTCAGACCGACAAATCTCAGAGTAAGGGGCAGGGGGGAGAGATGAGATAAAAAATAAATGAATGAATGATGTATAGAGAGGGAGGAGGAGTGCAAGGAAACATTGAAAGATGCGCAGAGAATTGTGAGCACTGGACTGTCCGGGAGGAGAAGTGCTGACGTAAGCCAAGGATCGATGCAGAGGCACCGAGACGCTGCAGGAGAGGCAGGACATTACTAGCCATGGCCCCCACAGGCTCTCCCCCGTCCCTGCAGGAGGGGAGGTTGTGGGCAGGGGAGACTTAGGGCTGCCTGTGAGTGCCCAGAGGACGTGCTGCCCCCTTCCCCCGTCCTCTCCTGTGGGGTCCTTCGTCGTCCTTCCGGCCCTGGCTGTGGTCAGAGTCTGTCCCCCAGAGGCAGTGGTGTGGGGAGACCAGGGCTGTGTCCGCAGGGAGGGGAGACACCGCGCCCGCTGCCGCTGGGAACTGCCTCGGCCTGGTGCCGGCGGGCACAGCCCTGTAGCCGTGCCAGCACCCCCACTTCTGCACGGCTGTGTGACTCCCTCAAATGCACCTTTATGGCTCAGCGGGCTAGCAGCATACGCTCATTACGAGGTCAGCTGGAAGCCTCCTTTGCCCTTTCACTTAGAAATCTTTACAAAAATTGTTACAGAAAATCAGCCTACTTCTTGATCCGAAGAAGGACCCTGTATTCTTACACTGTATTCCCCTCCATCGCCAGCTCCATCCATGGTTACCTGATGATGTGCAGAGACTGGCGAAAGCTCTCATGAACATTTCAGGCAACCTCGGGGTTCCCCTTTCACTCCCCAGAAAATGAGACGGAGACATACTCAGCCAGCGGAGGCTGCGCGGGGTCAGAGCGTGCCGTCCGGTGCTGCACACGGACACGAGTCCTCCCACGGCAGCTGCACATCACGCCCATCACACCGAAACGAGCCTGGGCGCTGGCACGGAAACACACGGCGCATGCGGCCTCAACGCCTTAAAACGTGACAGCTCATCAAGGGATTGGAAGGAGAAGTCACTGAACTAAGGTAATAAGGATCCTTCACCAAAAGGTATTTGTAATTAAGCAATTTTTTTAGTTAGGAAACTAAAACTTAACTGGCAAATCATATTCAAAGGGAAGCCTATTCAACCATGCTACATAAATTTCAGACACTCTCTGATCACAAGGAATGACTTGGTTAATGAGTGGCCCAATTAATTAAACAAATTTTTTTAAATAATCAAAGTTTGTTGCTACTGCTGTTTTCTTACCTGGTTGCCAAAGAGGTTGAATCCATTGATCGCTTCGAGAGCTGCTTTTGCTAAGCCCACGGAGCTGAAAGAGAAGAGGAAATGCTTCACAGCTGACGTGTCTGGCTCAAAACAAGGCCCGTCATCTGATGGACACGCACAGGCAGATTCTTTATTAACACTTATTACAGCTTCTGCAAGAAGTCTGAGAGACTTCAGAACGACACTGCACTATTTTAATGTTTCTTTTTCATAGTTAGTGATCTTTGGGGGAAATGTCGCTAAGCTCACCTTGATCTAGACTAACGGCCACACTGCTGATGGGAGCAGTTCTGGTTCTGGCGCCATTAACACTCACCGACGCACGTACACATGGCGTCGAACTGCAGAGGACGGTGCATGACAATGGCGTGTGCAGAGCGATGATCTGGGCATCAGCAGTTCAGAGCGATGCAAAACAGCATTTCTTCTTAACTTGCCTTTATTGTTAAAGTACGGCAGGTGTCCCCCTTGACCCCTCCTGTCCGGCCCCCTCTACCTTCACCACACTGTTGTCTGTGTCCATGGGTTATGCATGTAGGTTCTTTGGTTCATCTCTTTCCACACCTCCCTACCCCCTTCCCTCTGAGGTTTCTCAGTCTGTTCCCTATTTCCATGTCCCTGGGTCTATTTTGTTCATCATGTATATTTGACATATAAGTGAGATCATGTGGTATTTCTCTTTCTCTGATTGGCTTGTTTTGCTTAGCATAATACTCTCCAGGTCCCTCCATGTCATCTCAAAGGGTAAGAGATAGTTCTTCCTTACAGCTGCATAGTACTCCATTGTGTAAATGTACCACAGCTTTTTTTTTTCCCAAGCACACATATACACACCATCTTTTTAAAAAATTTTTTTATCCTCACCCGAGGACATTTTTCCATTTTTGTTCAGATAGAGTGGGAGGGAGAGAGAGAAAAAGAGAAACATTGATGTGAAAGGGACACATCGAGTGGCTGCCACCCGCACGACCCCAACCAGGGCCGGGGACAAACTGCAACCGAAGTACATGCCCTTAGCGGAAACCGAACTCAGGTCTCTCTGGACCGCAGGCCGATGCTCTAACCACTGAGCCAAACAGGCCAGGGCGCATCTTTTTTATTTTTTATATCCTCACCTGAGAATATTTTTACATTTATCTTCAGAAAGAGTGAAAGGGAGAAAGGGAGGGAAAGAGGGAGGGAGAGAGAGAGAGAGAGAGAGAGAGAGAGAGAGAGAAGAGAGAGAGAGAGAGAGAGAGAGAGAGAGAGAGAGAGAGAGAGAGAGACACTTCAATGTAAGACACATTGATTGGTTGCCTCCTGCATGACCCTGACCAGGGCTGGGAACCGAACTGCAACTGAGGTACATGCCCTTGACCGGAATCAAACCTGTGACTCTGGTCCACAGGCCAACGCTCCAACACTGAGCCAAACTGGCCAGGGCTACCACAGCTTTTTATCAACCCATCTACTGACGAACACTTGGGCTGTTTCCAGAGCATAGCTGTTGTCAATAGTGCTGCTATGAACATGGGGGTACACAAATTCTTTCTGATTGGTGTTTCAGGCTTCTTAGGGTATATTCCTAGAAGTGGGATCACTGGGTCATGCTGTTCCATTTTTAATTTTTTGAGGAAACACCATAGTGTTCTCCACAGTGGCTGCACCAGTCTGCATTCCCACCAGCAGTGCACTAGAGTCCCCTTTTCTCCACACCCTCGCCAGCACTTGTTTGATGATTTGTTGATGGTGGCCATTCTGACAGGTGTGAGGTGATGCCTCATTGTTGTTTTAATTTGCATCTCTCTGATGATGAGTGATGTTGAGCATTTCTTCATATGTCTCATGGCCATTTGGGAGCTTTTCTAACATCAACTGTGAGCCTTAAAAGGTCTCGCACGTCATAAACTGGCCACAGACCGTGGTCTGATATGCCCGTTAAGCGCTCTCTGCTTGGGGACTAATGGAACGGGCACTGTCCCATGTGCAAAACCGCCCACAGCACGCCTCCCACTGCTGTGTGCACCCTGCCCTGTGTGACGGAATGCGTGTGCTCTTGCACCCTCGAGTGCCACGTGCGATGGTGCTGAGAGACGGGAAGACCCGATTTCATCACAAATACAGCACTGTCGCCCTGGCCGGTCTGGCTCAGCGGTTGGCATCGGCCTGTGGACCAGGAAGTGCGAGTTTGATTCCGGACAAGGGCGCGCACCTCGGTTGTGGTTTGTACCGGACCCGCGTGTGCGATGTGTCTCTCTCATATCGATGTTTCTCTCTCTCTCTCTCCCTCCCACTCTGTCTGAAGATCAAAAATGTACAAATATCCTCGGGTGATGATTAAAAAAAAAAAATACAACACTGTCATAAATAACAACCTTTAAGTATTTTAGATGCAATATCCTGTTTGTTTTACTGACTGCAATATTTTTTCTAAAAGCAACTTCATACGCCATGAATGTCAAATAAAACAAACGACCTGCCATCGTTTCAGCCCGTGTCCAGAGCAGACTCACAGGGCGGGGTCCCCAGAGCAGCAGCACGGCAGCCCCTCCCTGGGAGCGCGGCCCCCTCAGTGCTGGCCCATGCTGGACGCTTGGGGACCACTGCTCTGAGCTGTGCACGTCACGGTGCCTACGCGTCCTGCGCTGGCTCACGGGGCGCTCTCCCTGCGGCACTGCCTGTATCCCAGGGCACTGAGCAGGTGGGAAGCTCACAGGGCACGGGTGGGAAGGTGGAGGAGACGCTTCTCCCTATCCCTGTCACCGAGTGCCACTGAAAATCCTGGCATTACACAGACAGAGCTGAGCAGGCTCCGGAAGACAGACAGGCGGGCGGCCAGGAACCCTCTACCTGCCCCGCATATGCCAGACTGGAGCGAGCAGCAAGGCCCACACAAAGGAAGGCCCCCAGAAGCCTGCTCTCTGCAGCCAAGGTCCTGGAAAGGCAGCGGAACAGAGGACGGAGTGGATCCTGGACCTCCAGCCGGGTCTGCAGCGAGGAGCACCCGCCCCCAGCCCCTTAGCTCTGTGCTCCCAGAGGTCCAAGGAGGGAGCCAGGACTTTCACTGCCAGGGGTGGTAGGAGGGCTCCCCCACATTCCTCAGTGTCAGCAGGCACCCCGTCGAGCCTGGACTTCCACCACCCATCAGTAGTGGGCGACCTCCGTGTCCTGCAGGGATGGCCACCTCCCATCAGCAGTGGGCGACCTGCACGTCCTGCGGGGATGGCCACCTCCCATCAGCAGTGGGCGACCTGCACGTCCTGCGGGGATGGCCACCTCCCATCAGCAGTGGGCGACCTCCGCGTCCTGCGGGGATGGCACCGGTCCCATCAGCACTGGTGGGCCGACCTCCGGTGTCCTGCAGGGATGGTCACCCTCCCATCAGCAGTGGGACGACCTCCGCGTCCTGCAGGGATGGCCACCTCCCTCAGCTAGTGGGCGACCTCCGGCGTCCTGCGGGGATGGCCACCTCCCATCCCGCAGTGGGCGACCTCCGCGTCCTGCGGGGATGGCCACCTCCCATCAGCAAGTGGGCGACCTCCGCGTCCTGCAGGGATGGGCCACCTCCCATCAGCAGTGGGCGACCTCCGCGTCCTGCAGGAGTGGCCACCTCCCATCAGCAGTGGGCGACCTCCGTGTCCTGCAGGGATGGCCACCTCCCATCAGCAGTGGGCGACCTCCGTGTCCTGCAGGGATGGTCACCTCCCATCAGCAGTGGGCGACCTCCGTGTCCTGCAGGGATGGTCACCTCCCATCAGCAGTGGGCGACCTCCGTGTCCTGCAGGGATGGCCACCTCCCATCAGCAGTGGGCGACCTCCGCGTCCTGCAGGGATGGCCACCTCCCATCAGCAGTGGGCGACCTCCGCGTCCTGCAGGGATGGCCACCTCCCATCAGCAGTGGGCGACCTCCGTGTCCTGCAGGGATGGCCACCTCCCATCAGCAGTGGGCGACCTCCATGTCCTGCAGGGATGGCCACCTCCCATCAGCAGTGGGCGACCTCCGTGTCCTGCAGGGATGGCCACCTCCCATCAGCAGTGGGCGACCTCCGCGTCCTCTGGGATGGCGTCAGAGGAGGTCCACACCCTCTCCCTGTCCTGTATGTGAGGACAGCTGGGAGTCAGCCCTCATCCTTCCCAGCCAGGGGTGCACCCATGGAGGCCGACTAGGGAGCTGCACTCCCCCGACCCAGCACTAAGGGGCTCCCTCCCAGGCTGTGGGCAGAGTCCTGGCCTTGTATTCTCCTCTGACAGTGGGGAGGCGATGCCCTGCCCGCCCCTGCCGGAGGCGGCAAGAAATGCAGCTGACGCGGGAAATTAAAATAAGATCCATGGTCTCAGAACATGGTACCCAAACGTCCCTGTCTCAGTACACAATCACTCATCATATCTGGAACCAAGAATATCTCAAACTGGATAATCAAGGACAATCAACAGATGGTAACCCTGAGACGCAAACGACGTCAGAATTATCTGACGAAGATGCAAAGCAGCCAAGGATCGAGTAGGAATGGGACTGAGTGTGAACAGCCAGCCTCAGCTGAGACAGAGTCAGCGAAGATTCAAAGCAGCCAAGGATCGAGTAGGAATGGGACTGAGTGTGAACAGCCAGCCTCAGCTGAGGCAGTGTCAGCGAAGATTCAAAGCAGCCAAGGATCGAGTAGGAATGGGACTGAGTGTGAACAGCCAGCCTCAGCTGAGGCAGTGTCGGCAAAGATTCAAAGCAGCCAAGGATCGAGTAGGAATGGGACTGAGTGTGAACAGCCAGCCTCAGCTGAGGCAGTGTCAGTGAAGTCCTCAGCAGTGAGAGACGCGGTCATCGGACTTTAAAAGCTCGGCGAGCAGGATCCGTGGCAGAGGGGAGGAGACAGAAAAATAACTGAATCGGAAGATAAAACAATAGAAATGATCCAATCTGAACAAACGAGAGAAAACAGACTAGGAAAAAAATAATAAAGAGAGCCTCGAGGACTAGAACATTCTTATCATTCACTCCCCGAAGGAGAGAAGAAAAAGGGTGAGATCAAAGTAAAAAGTACTTGAAATAAGGGCAGAAAACTTCCCAA